AGGGGAACTACGATGCTACATTCACTTTCAGGTTTCGGCGGTAAAACCTGCATGTGGTGGCAGTCCGTGCTACAACCATAATAGCGTACTTGACAAGCACGGTTTCGCACATTGTTACACGTTTATAACATGAATTAACATGTTAACATGTGCAAAAAAAAATTGACATAGTGATTAATATCATTATGATTAATATCATGAAGATCATACGAAATGTCCGGTAATTAGCTGCCAACCCGAAGTGTGAGGGTAGATTCGGTTGAGACAAACATAAAAGTCCCATACCGTTTTGCGAGATTCGCGATAATTATCGAGTTATTAATGACAGAAATTATAAAATGCGCGACTATTTTGTCACGCTTATATCATCAACTCCCACCCTCGATAGAGTCTCAACGCACGATCAAGCGCGAATTATGAAGATTCAGTTTCCGCGAAGAAACTATAGTCGAGGGACGTTCGCAGCCGCGGTGGAATTTAACGCTCGCGTTCGCAAAAGCCTAATATTCTACTCGCGATGGGACGCCATTGCTCCTCTTTTCACGGTGCGGATGTTCAACTCCTTTCTTCTTTATTTTCCCCGTGACGACGATACCGCGACGAGGCCCTAACGAGGCAAGTTTGCTTGTAACCAGCGTTTATGTCAAGAGCGCTTCTCGAGAACATTCCGCTCGAAGGGTTAGTCCGCGATAAAAAGTTTCCTGCGACCGGAGGCCGTTGTGATTTAAAATTAAATTGCAGCAAGAGCATTGTTATCGAGCAGCCCTGAGACGGGCTGCTGTCATCCGTCCGTGACGTCTACCGCGCGCCTTTGCGATTATCGGCAAATTCAGTTTTCTCGATTGTTCGCGTGATATCAAGTGGCCATAATATATGGCGATAATTCATGGCAATATGTGGCAACATGTGGCAATAATATATGACAACAATATACGGCAACAATATATGGCAACAATATATGGCAATAATATATGGCCATAATATATGGCAATAATTCATGGAATATATTTTTCGTTACAAAAGTCAATGCAAATTTGCGGCATGCACAATGTAATAATAAAAGAGCTCTCTGCGAGCGTTGAGTCGAACGCTCACCGATGATGATATTGATGATGTCCCGTTGCATCCAACCAGATCCACCAATGTCCGTCCATGTCCGCTATCGCTCTCTATGTCGCGCAGCATCCATCTTGCAGCGCGTCCCACGTTGATTGCTACACTTTAACTACATTTCCGCGACGCGGTCGATACTTGTATTAGAGCGGCGATATTTGCGTCAATTAACGAACGTTTTACGTTGACATCGGTGAAAACTTTTTACGCGCTTCGAAACGGACTCTATAAACTCGATCGGCGAGGAGCAAGAACCGTGTGAAAATTTATCGACTCGTCCAACGGATTTTTACGGCGTTTTTCGCGATCGCGCCTGAAAAGTCGCGAAAATGTGGGAATATCGATATTTACGAGAATATTCGCGAATGCATGCGAGGAAAGATTAGACGATTAGAAACCGGTCACTCCGAGGGAGCGCAAAGAGAGAGAGAGAGAGAGAGAGAGCGAGCGGGGCAAAGTTTTCACGCATGATAGTTCCGTCACGACGAAGCTTACGTTCGCGAGACTTTGGCGATACTTGAGAATTTAAGCTTTCTTTGTTAACAGCGCGGGTAAAAACGCGTATATTGATAACCGCGATCGCGATATTCAAAGGCACGCGAGCGAGGATACCTCAAGCTCGGCGTGCGCTGGCGCAATTTCTGCGCGCATTATACACTACTCGAGACAATAGGGATCATAATGAATGGCCAGTGTTGCCAAATAATTCTACAGCCTGTTTTGGAAATAAAAAAAAGTAGCCAATGGTCTCGGCATTTATGCGTACGAATATATTTTACACCGACAATTGAATATTGTCAAATAATTGTCGTTAAATAATTCTGCGACCCGCTTGAAAAATGAAAATAAAACAACTGATGACGATATCGCGTTTGTAGATATGAATATCTTTTATTCAGATGACTGAACATCAAGAGAGAATCATTCGGTATTTTAAATCTCGTATGTAATGCAGGCTATCGATCAAGTAATCCCCTGATTGTTTCGAGCAATGTATTTTATTCAACGTCACAAACATACATATGCAAAAATCTATTTGCAATTTGCATTGACTCGAACGACATTTTATCTCCCATAGTCCCACATCCGTCATGCGGTATTTTGTTTCTCTTTTCATTTTGTATTTACTCACCGAAACGACTTGCAGTCAGAGCCGGCCACGTTCCGCTTCAACTCTGTAACAAAAAATTCACATTCGCTCGTTAGATTTGACCAACCAGTGCGGGCGAATAAAAGTAGTTTATCCCCTGCGATCGTAATTCAAGTCAAGCCGGAAATTATATCCCAGCTCTAGATCGCCAAGGGTCAAACAGAGGACTGTAGTAAACTTGTAAACTTACCTTCAAGCCGACTCTGCTTGGCCCGAATCGGATCCTCCGATGCGGCATCCGCATCTGCCGGATTGTTGTTACTTTCCGCAACAACTGAAACAGAAAAGTAATTTTCTCAGTTGATAATCTGCGGTAGAGAGAGAATATCTTTGATCGAGACGAATCGAAAATACGGGAATATTTTGATATGGGATTTTTATCTTTATATTTTTGTTCCAACATTGAAAATTTAAATGAGACATGAAGCTTTCAAGAGAGCTGATGAGGAACAAATTGCAAAGGCAAAGATTGTAAAAGGTTGAACACAGATATGTAGGAAACTTGTAAACTTTACCTTCCGACCGACTCTGCTTGGCCCGAACCGGATCCTCCGGCACGGCATCCGCATCTGCCGGATTGTTGTTACTTTCCGCAACAACTGAAACAGAAAAGTAGTTTTCCCAGTTGATAATCTGCGGTAGAGAGAGAGTATCTTTGATCGAGACGAATCGAAAATACGGAAATATTTTGATATGGGATTTTTATCTTTATATTTTTGTTCCAACATTGAAAATTTAAATTAAACATGAAGCTTTCAAAAGAGCTAATGACGAACAAGTTGCAAAGGCAAAGATTGTAAAGAATCGAACACAGATGTGTAGGAAACTTGTAAACTTTACCTTCCGGCCGACCCTGCTGTGCCCGAACCGGATCCTCCGGTGCGGCATCCGCGTCTGCTGGACTTGCTTCCCGCAACGTCTGGAACAAAAATTTAGCGTTCTTAGTTGGTAACCTGCGGTAGAGAAAGAATGTTTGGTCGGGATGAGTGGAGAATATTCACTACGGTTTTTTTTCTTTATTGACATCAAAGTCTAGATAGGACTTGGAGCTCTTGAAAGAGCTGACGAAAAAAGATGACAACAAGAAGCGGAGACAACAGTTGTGTGCTCTCGAAAATACTCTTTTACGAATGGACATTTAAATTTAGATCCCGTAACGAGAGTAAACAGACTCGAAAGAAGCGCTGACCGAAAACAAAAAAGGTCGCGGTCTAAGAAGCGATATGACGTTGAATATTCTACACAAGACCGGTATACTCATACAGTTCAGAATTATTCAGGATGTTTAATTGAGAACATAATGAATTAGAGATCCGCGTTCATGGACCGTTATCCGTCTCTGTCTAAATCAATATCTCTTGTATACAACAACGCAATAAATAGATAAACAGACAGAGATTGACGAGAGTAATTGCAGATTCATAAAGTCATGATTACTAGTCGGATAATGACGGATTGTGAATGCCGAGCGCGAAATTCCGACTTCTTATTCCCGGAAAATTCGTAAAACGTCCGCTCTCGTTATCGGAGACCTCCCACATAATAAATTATTCCACATACCTGGAAACGTGACGTATCGGTGCCGGCGTCCTGCTTCCCGGCTGCTGGAGTCCTCCGGATTTCACTCACTCACGCTTCTAACGCTGATACTCGCAATTCGACCTTGCGGTTAATCAACGTGACGCTGACGCGATGCCGATTTGAGTATCTCGAGGACCGACGAGATACATTTCTTTCAATTACACGAGACGGAAGTGACGAGCGCGTCGCGCACGGCTGCTGTTGATGGAATGAGATCGAATACGCATGGCGCGCGAGTATTAATACGAAGGGCAAAAAGTGTCGTCGCTCGCGAGCCGATCAACACAATCGGCGCGATGTAAACATTGCGGGCCTCGGCGGCCCGCCGTTGAAGCAAGAGAGACTTGCCCTTGGGCGTCTTTTCTTTTCTCGAAGGTCCCGGGACGACGAGGAGAATGCGAGGAGGCCTTTCAACTGCACGCGACATTGATTTACTATTTATTGATTACTGAAAATAAAGAAAATTATTCTGTCGAAGCATCGGATATTTGTTAGTTTTATGTTAATTAAAGAGGAATGTGTACGATTAGAAAATGTGTTAGCAACTAATTGTACAGTGTGTCAAAGTTGTTGTGACGCCGTTTTCAGAGAATAATTAAAGGTGGTAACGTTAAAGAGTGGAATTTCATTCCATGCGAATTTTGTCTCGTTCTTATTAAATGTTAGATTATCTGCTGCGGACAATAACTCTTTTACTTTTCACCTAATATTCAATGATGATGAATAACATTTACCTAGACACTACCCATTGGACGTCTGTTATATGTCCATTTTTTTTTTACAAAAGACGTCCATAGGACGTACGTTTGTCACAATGTGGATATGGACGTCCGATGGACGTACATTGGACGTACATCTTACAGGACCGATGTCCAATAAGGACATTCTTTATTACGTCCAATTTATTTCCACGGACGTAAATCGGACATACGGACATAAACTGGACGCGAAACGTACATCCATTGGATGTCCAGTGCTATCTGGGTTGTAGCGACGTGCTTGCCACGTACGGTGTAGTCAGGGAAGTTAAAAAATAATATTTGGCAGTGAGAAATAGGTGAAAAATTTCCGCGTAACTTTGACAAAAATTATAATAACGACGTTGTTTCGGAAAAATTTAGTTTGAAGTTTTTAACTTTCAAATATTTATAATATTTTCTACTAAGGGAATTGAGTTTAATTAGAAATATCAAGTTTAATAAGAAGTTACCTATTGCATCTTCAAAAATGTTCGGCAATTTCCGCCAATTACAAGATGTCACGTGTTATTGCACTTTCGGTGGCTTGGATAAAGTTAACCTCAAATTTCTCAGGCAAGACGCATTTCTCGCTATACTTAAAATCTTGTTAAAATATTTACGATATATGAAGCATGTTTTACAAATTTATTTCTGGCATATGTCAATTGTTGCCGTATGTATTTTATATCTTATAAATAACTATAATCATGTTGATGTAACATATTTTGCCGTAATACAATGCAATAATAATTGCGTTCAGAAAACAACGGTCACAATTTGTCAATATTAATTAAAATGTAAAGATCTAACTAACTAAAAACTAACAATCACCAGCTGCTCATTGAGCGCTTTATTTTTTAAACACAAATGTATACATTGTATTTATTACTTCTTAGTATGATAAATCAAGTAACGTTATGTTCAATGAAATGAAATCTACCTTTAAAAAAATTTTAATAAATTTAATTTTTCTCCAAGTTATTATTTATATTATTAATATCACTCAATAATATGTTATAATGAAATTTCAAATACTAAGACATATTAAGATATAATGTTATTAAAATTAATTTCTTCAGGAAAACAGGAGCTTCGAGCCAACTTTGCTCAACGATTAATGCAACACCTAGATTGTGGAACCCGTGGAGTTTAACATTTGTTAGAAATAGAATGAGATATCACTTCCCACATCCAAATGAACGTATGCGAATTAAAAAGCACGGATGGCATGCCAGAATGGCAACACCAGGTGGTAGAAAAATTCTTATGAGAAGAATTTTAAAAGGTAAACATGTCTTAAGTCATTGATAAATGTATTATCAATGTAACAAATAAAACATATGGAAATGTATACTGAAAAATAAATGTTACCAATCAAATTTTAAGTCTTTATTGCAATTGTATATTAATATGCATACATATATACACGTGTGTGTATACATATTAATATATATATATCTTATAAAATATTACATATTATTTATTTTTATTTCTTCTATACTTGCATCATTAGCTTCACATGGTATGTTCTTAAACATAAGTTGTTTGCATGTCCAATTGAAAGGTTGTAGTAAAGGTGCTTCTAGCACTATATCTTCATGTTTCTTGCCAAAAGAGAGTAAATGTATACTTCTCAAGTGAAGGTGAACAGGAATAATTTCTTGCTGACGTGGTGTCAATTTTAGCAATTCTAGCAGCTGTCTATTTATCTTTGGCATGTTCAAACATGATTCGCTAAATGTATTAACTTTCATCCATGTACCCATAATTTCCTGAACCCGTGATCCATGATAATTATCTCCGAGAATCGGGCTGTATAACATAATGCTAGCAAACAACCTAACACAGTGCCATTTTCTTGCGGATGATTCTATCTCTATTAGAGAACATAAGTTATGTGTTGAATTTGACAGAAGTTTATACTTTACATTCATAATTTTAATATCTCCTCTTTTCTGTTCATTTTTAGACCAGTGTGTTATAAAAATAGGCTAAAACATATATATAAATTTGTTGCTTCAAAGGACAAATTTTTATGTCAAATATCTGTATACAAATATAGGACCTACCTTTTTATTTCCAGATTGAGATTGTTCTAACTTCATTGCTAAATAATAAGATCCCTTAATCTCATTTGGAACTCTAATTGTAATTCCCCAATATTTTCTAAATTTCTGGGCATATGTTGCTTGTGTTCTTGCTTTCATTACCTGTTTCACTACATCATTGTTAATTGCAAACACATAGACACCAGACATATATCTATCAAAAAGAAAAACTTATAATAAAATTGTTTATAAAAAATTTAGAAGTTAAAAAAAAATTTCTCAACATACTTTTCTGCACCTATACATGGTATTAAGGCAGGTACGTCTAATTCTTTTGCAATATGTGGTAAAACATTTTCTATGGAATAATCCACTGCTTTTACAATGTGATGACATTGTTTTATAGGTAAAGGTTTATCATTTGTAAATGTATTAGATAAAGGTATACCATATGGTTTATTTATCACGACCATTCCATCTGCAACAAAACATCTGCAAATCAATTTAGAAATATATTATTTGTAATAATTATGCAATACAATACAACATGCATATGTATGTGTAACAAAACAAATCAATGAATTTTATTTTCTATGCAACTTCAAATGCTTTATTATAAAATTGAAACTTTTACTGCAGTAAATTTTTACTGAAAATACTATTAATAATTAATAAAAATTAATAACTATTAACAAATTATACTATAATAAAATAATATATACTATGTAATAAAAAGAAATTTCTAAAATATACTATAAATTCTTTCGAACGGACTTAAATAAAATTGTATTCCACCTGCATTGTAAATAATGTTTTCCAACAAATATTTCCTGAACTCGTTTTCCGATTTCCACGGATGAATCTTTAGGTACGGATGTTGCTCCTTCTTTTTCGACAGTGTATATACTTCTTCTGTAGTGCAATATCCCCTATAACATGAACGATATGCCATGGCAAACCCATTGGATTGTATTATTTTAAATACTGCCATCGCACTCTTCATTTTTCTTCACGGTAGAATTAGAGGTTAACTTTGATAAACACTATTACAAGTTAACAACCGCAAAGATGAAGCGATATGGATAAAAACAGACCCCACTTTGATCGTACTCTTTTATTGTCTCTTTTATTTAATAAACTAAATAATATCATGTAACAATTTTATAGCTCATTTTATAGAATGCTGTTATACTGCAATATTCTAGACCGGTATTCTGCGGTAGGCTGCGTTCCGATATTTAAAGCCAGCGGCACACGGTGCTTGTTTTCGTGCTAGTTTGCTTGCTTTCGTAGATGAATAGTTCCATCCATCTACGGAAATGTACTAATCAGAACGCAGTATTTTCATCTAGCAAGAAAAGCAGCACGAAAACAAGCACCGTGTGCCGCTGGCTTTACTGCTAGCACTGACAATCTATAATATACGTGACATGAACTATTTCAGTACTGTATTTTCAGTACTGGTAGTGAATATCGCAACACTACCTTATGCTGGATTCACACTGCACCTGACGTGCGTCGTCCGTTATCCGACGGTACGAAGCCGTGCGAAATGCTGTTCATACTGCATACATTAACTAATACGATTTAAAGTCTGTAGGTGGCGTAAATGGTTAATGGTGACTACAGTTCCTCTAATAGTAATATGCGCATAACCTAAAAAGTTAGAATTGATATTTATTTATTCCATAGACATATATAATAGACTGAGCATAGCGGGTTTGACAGAACGGTGAGAGAGGCAAGATATCGGGGAAGTTTTCTTTCCTTGCTGCGCAGGTCGAATGCGCAATCGTCTAGTGACAGCCAATTGCACAGACTCATGACAACAAGAAATATGCATAAGCGTAGTTATGTACGGGCAACAAGATATGTGTAATATATATATATGTGTAAGATATGTGAAATATTTTTCTTCACTATTGTTAACTCTACTTTATCGCCTACTTTCCGACCATAAGAAATGTCTTGTATGAAAAAAGTCTGACATGAAAAAATGTCTTGTATGTTAAAATGTCTTGTGTGCTAAAGTGTCTCAAACTAAATAACAGAACTCTATTCTGTCTATCGACAACTCTAATGACATAAACTTTATAATATATTAAAATGAGTAAGGTATACCATCTTTTCCCAATTTTGTCCAGATTGCCCTTCATACTATGCGTTATCGTACGACAAATGTTGAATCATGACCAACATTTCGTCCGATATCGGACGATGACGGACGGCCAAGCGATCCGATGATACGAAGTAAAATCCTGCTTTTTGATTGGTTGCGGAGCGTCGTACGACGTACGTCGGATACAGTGTGAATCCAGCATTAGGGCCAGAGCACAGACTTCTGCATAACGCATAATACACAACGCATAAAGCCCGTATCAGACTATGGATTGGGATTGAGATTAGATTGAAATTTGACCAATTGAAAAAGAGAAAATAATCTCAAGCATAGTAAACTTACTCCTGATTGGTTAAATTTCAATCCAATACTCAATCCCAATCCGTAGTCTGATACGGGCTTAACTCGTTACTGGAGGTAACGACACTTTCGTTATCGTTGCGCAGCTTTTCTATGGTATACAAAAGCTGCGCAACGATGACGAAAGTATCGTTAACTCCAATAAGTTACAGAATCGCACCACAGGTGTGAATGCGCCCTTACTTTTGTGTGTTGTTTGGATTCATTTTATTCATATGTGGGGTACGTTTCGTTTCACACATATGCGTGCATTTTTTATAGTATACGTGACATAAACTATAGATGCGCGCTTATGAGTGAAACGGAACGCACCCATGGTTATTAATCAAATCTAGGGTTACTAGAAATTTTCGATCGTACCCCCTGTTGTGCATCATGACAGTTGATTATTCAATGAAATAGTAACGATATCAGAAAGAATGGTGCTTACAATGTAAAACATAAAGTCACACGTAAAAGTAAAAAATAATTGAGATATTTTGCATATCGTTAATAAACGTAAATTAAATTTAAAAACTATTAATATATAAAAATTTATCTGATTTGAAAACATCAAGAACATAATTTATTTTAGAGCAAAAAAAAGATCAGACGTCGATTCATAGGTCATATGTGACCCATCTCTAAATACGATATTCCGTGTTCGAACGTATCGCTGCATCCAGTTTTGTCGGTTCTCCGTGGTTGTGTTTGACTCTTCCACGAGTATTCGCACTGTTTCCAGCTTTACATGCCACAAATCCATTAGTGTAACGAGTGATTCTGACTTAATTCGGTCCAACGTTAGTTTCTCGTAATGTGCAACATTTCGCTTTTTATCCAACGACTTTAACAGTTAAGATTCGAATTCTGGTCACATATCGTACTTTCATCGTTGCTGTTGTCGTCGAGGAACGTTGATATAACGGCAATGTCTGTATTCAACAAGCCGAAGCGCAATATACGACGACGTCCTTTCAACGATGAGGATGAAGATAATGAAAACAGAATGGAAGTGGAGGACGCGCAACCTATCAAAATTAAAGCGAAGAAGAAGGATAAGCCAAAGCAGACGCTCCTCAGTTTCGGAGAGGAGCTGGAAGAAGGTGTATATACATATACGCATTTATGCACTATGCATTCATGCACTGCTTATGTTCAGTAGAAGTCATACTTAATCAATGTTCAGTAATTATTGTTTGTGTTTAAAATATGTTTTTATAAATTGTTATTAATTCAATCGAGTATATTAATCGGAAACCATTAAGCGCTGACTTCTGTTGAATGTAGATAGTATGTATGTATGTAAGTTTACTGTATATAGCATGTTGTATATAATTTGTACATGCATTGTATACTTTCATTGCATATGCCTAATTTCATAATACCCAATTTGTTTCTATAAAAATATAAATGACTTGTTTGTGGAATAGAGTCTGTTTATCAAATATTTTAATCCTGTATTTAATATTAAATGAAATTTTAACCTTCAGTTTTACTTATGTAATAATATTTATTTGATAGAGTGAGATATTTTTGGATATTTTTGGAAACTTTTAGTATTAACTTGTCCCATGAAATGCTTCATGTAAATCATGGATTATTGCTGAACATGAGAAAGATTCTATAAACAAGGCTTGTAACTTATATAATATGAGATGACTAATTGACTTTGTAATAAAGATATGATCCTTTTTTTTATCAATTTACTAATATAGATTTTGATTGCTTACCTTAATACTCAAATTTTCAATATCCATTATATTTTTGCTAACATATGGATATTTACTACATACATGCGTTATTTGAAATATAAGAATCATTTTTTTAACACAATGAAATATTTATGCCAAAATGTCAGTGAAAATTTATTATACAATTCTTAAAGATTAAGGATTGTATGATACAATAAATTTTCAAACTATCAAATACTTACTACAGCAGATTTAGAAAAGTCATATCTTAATTGTTTCTAATAGTGTGATCTATGCATATATAAAATTACCATTATAATCCTGATGAAAGAAGCAAAAAATGATATTCTAATATAAGTATAGTTTTTTGTTCTAGACAAATAACTTTTTTTTTAGGTAGTAGATGCTGTTTCTACTAAATTTTTAACAAAATATCAATTTTATTACTTGAGATTAATAGTTTTAATATGTTGCAGCGGACGATGGAGAAGTTTTTATAGTCAAGAAATCATCGAGGAGCAAAAAACTGATGAAACAGCTAGATCAGGAGAGGAGGAAAAAGAAAGGTGAAGAGAAAATGCAACTGGACACTGAGCAAGCGAATATGTCCTTTAAACAGGAAAAAGATTTAGAAATAAAGACAGATGATCTAGTAGTAAGCTATCTCTATGATGTTTTATTATTATTAGAATTTCTCCAATTTAAGTAACTTATCATTTAATATAGAAGATATTTTATCTCTCCATAGTATATTGACTAATGTTTCAAGATTTGGAACAACTCTGAGGGTACAGCAAGAAGACCTATTCATAATATTTTAATGTCACTTTTTATAGTTGTGTATATTTACAAATTTACACATATATTCAGCAGTTTTCTTGAAAACACGTGTTTTAATTGCAAAATTTGAATAACTTTAAATTTATAAACTATGGTTGCTTTTGGGAAATAGAATTACTTTATTATATAATGTTACTTTTGTCTTATACATAATTAACTGTGCACAAGCAAACTGTGGGTAGTCTTCCCATATTATAAACATGAAGATTACTTGTTGAGTGCTTGTTGAATTATTTAATTATCTAATTGCGTGTTGCTATATACAATCATCTTGCAGTAAGCAATTTTTTAAATATAAATTAATATAATTAATGGGTATATTTTTATTACATATTTTACACTACCATATTCTTTTGTTATGTCGGTAGGATAACTTATTTTGATTTCGGAATAATTTCTGTGAAAATTGTATCTTCGTGAAACTTATGTTGTAGAACAGTTTTAACATGTGATATTTTTTACGAACCTTGTGAATTTCTCTATCTGTCTGTACTTTTACTAAGCGATGTATAATCTTCGTTGCTAGGTTAAAATAAAAAACACAGGACCGCTGATTTTAAACGGACGCGCTGCGTTGGCAGCAGGGAAGGATGACTATACATCGGGCGAAGAGGAAGATGAGCCATGCAATCATAAATTTCGCAAAAGTACAGATAAAGCAGAAACTATGAAGATATTTCTTGAAAGTATATAATTTTCTTTTTCATGTACTAATCTCAAACATTACACACAGTAATATTATGTCTATTATAATTTATACACCTTATACAAAGTATTACAAAGTTCAGATGTATATGTAATCATTTTGCTTGTCATAATAAGTAAAAAGTATTATTAGGGTTTATTATTAATTATAAATCTTTATCGTAGTTTATTAGTATATTTTCTAGGCATTTCATAACAGAAACATGTTCTTCGTGTGTACATATATTCTATAACTAATAATTTTTAATATTATTCAGGTGGATGTATACCTGATGCGGCTATGATCCATGCAGCAAGAAAACGTAGACAAAAAGCAAGAGAATTGGGGACTGACTACATTCCTATTGAAGAGCAGAGGTAGTATTTTATCGTGGTTAATATTGCTTAATAAATTGACATCTATAAATTTATTCATAATATTATTTATAACAACTCATTTGTCTGTAGTGATGAAAAGGGCAAGTCGAGGCTAATACGAGAGGAAGATCATGATCGCAGTGATGATGACGATTCTCAAGATCGAATCGATATGACTGTCAACACAGAAGCACGCGACAAAGAGAAAAGGAGAGAAGCGTTCCTTGCTTCCCAAGTACCGATAAAACGTAAGTCTTGAGACATAATAATTATTTTGGAAGACACAGTAATTATATGATAATTAATACGAAAATATTTCAGAGAATGCCAGACCTGAAACGCTTTTGTAATTTAGTTTCAGATAATGAAAGTGAGCACGAAAATGAAGAAGAGGAGTGGGAAGCTCAACAGATACGAAAAGGCGTTACTGGTGCTCAGGTAAGAACAGGTGCTTTGTTGAAATAAATTATGATTTAATATAAAGCATATTTTTGTGACAATATGTTTTTTGTGACATATGCAGATTGCAGCAGCACAGCAAGACTCTATGTTACAACAGCAATTCACGATGGGTATGAATGTTAATCAAATGATGGGGACAGGTGTACCTTTAGAGATGGTATTAATGCCAGCACCGCCACCACCGCCGTCCATTCAACCACCAGATCCAACAAAGATTGTACCTGTTACACCGCAAGAAGTTGTAAATAGGATGCGTTCAAGGTTTCTATTCTACTCTAGACACTCCAGATCTTGCATGTTGAAACGAAGAAAAAAAATAAACTAGTAAATCTCTATATAAATACATACGCTGTTTCTTTAAAGGTTAGAAAATCTGAAAGAAGTGCATAGGCAACATCAACAAGAACAAGAACGTTTAGAGCAAGAACTACAGCAAGCCTTGAAAGAATTGGACATGGGTGAAATCCGTACACCGCATTTCGCACAACGCTTCAGATATTACCAAGAGTTGCGTGGGTATGTCACTGACTTGGTAGAGTGTCTTGATGAGAAGGTGGGTTGATACGCTGTCACGTTTGATTTATGTGCACTGGGATTGATCGTACAATATGTGGCTGGCAGAGATTTTCCGGCCAGTAAAGCATCAACGATATTAACTAATCGAATTTGAAAAATTTATCTCATTGAATTATCATACTATTCGCGATTAACACGCAACGTTAAAGCTGCAAATTTAAAACACCGGTTAAATTCGATAAAACTAAATTATTGGGCATAATGATCATAAATCATTATTTTTCAGTCATTAAAATATCGTATACACTTGTAAATCTTATATCTTGGACACTTTGAAAGTTTAAAGTTAAAGTTTAGAGATATAGAGCCAAAAGAATATTTCATTAGTTATTCTTTTAACTTCATTCAAATCAACTGACTACTGAATATTCATACGGTCTTAATTTCCACGAATATTGTTAAACAAAATGAAATCTCTAAAGCTTTTTAGTAGTATGTTAGTGAGTTCAATCGTTTGTAGAACAAAGAAGTTATGTATACATGTAACATACATATATTTCTATTGCCGGGGGTCATTATCTTCTCTGTATTATGTTATACATTTTATAAAGATACATGTACATATACACATAATATGAGTGAAATTCATTATATGTATACGAGAGCGATTAATACAAATTAATTTGATTGTGGTAAGTAAATTAATGTCTATTTATTTCATTAATGTCTAAACAGTGTTGTCATATATGTATCGAAGAGTTTTCTAAGTAATTTATAAAGTTACCGACTAAAATGAATCAACGCTTTTAAGAGTTATATATTACATTATGGAGTGCCGTTGAATTATAACGTTGAATTAAACATCGTCAATTCCGAATAACAGAATATGCTCATTGAATCAACTTAAATGTATAATTGTTTTTGTTAGCTTCCCCTGGTTATCAAATTGGAGCAACGTTGGTTGGATCTGTATGGAGAGCGCTCGACCGAGTTGATGGAACGAAGACGGCAAGACACGAGGGATCAAGCGGAAGAAATAACTACTGCATCAAGTAAACATTCATATTTATAATTTTTATATTTACTAGCATACATAGTATACAGTTGACAAAATACAATGTTTGTTACAATTATTTTCGGTTTCTAAAATGTGTTTCTTAAAGTTCTTGCGTTTTAATGACTGCGTTCAGAAGAACAAAATGATCAGTGAGCGCTTAGTGATTCTCGCTCCTGATTAGTAAATACTTCTGGGTCTATGAAGAATCTAAAAGAATGCTCCAGTCACAGACAATAATCACTAAGCGCTCACTGATCATTTTGTTCTGCTGAATGCAGCCATAGTTTCGTAACGCAAATTCTACGGTACTTTTTGCCTTGTAGGAGGTCAAGGTGTGAGAAGAGGACCGGAAGTAGAAGCTCATGTGCGACGAGCTACAGAGAGGGAAGGTAGAAGAGCCCGTCGTAGGAGAGCGAGAGAATTAGCTTCAACTCTGCCAAAACATATCGATGGCATGTCCAGCGATGACGAAGTTACCGAGCAACAAAATCTTGCGTTTAAGCAAGCAAAAGGTAGTAGACGGCGATTTTATACTGTGCTTTGGTCCTTGTAAAGTATTTCGCTTACGATTTTGCGTGCGCATCGTGATTGTACGATATCCTCTCACTTTGTTACAGATGAAATAGATAATGACTGTAAAGATATATTTTCCGACGTCTTGGATGAGTATTGTACAGTACGCGGTATTATTTCAAAGCTTGAATCATGGAGAGAAACGGATATGGATGCTTATACAGAAGCCTATGTGTCGTTGTGCATACCCAAAATGATTTCACCGATCATCAGATTGCAACTGGTCACTTGGAATCCAATTATGGTACTTTGTCCTCTTTCGACAACAAGCGGTTTTGTTAGATTAAATTATTACATTTAATTTAATCAAAAGAATATTAATAAGAATATTAAAAGAATTAATTAAAAGAATATTAATACTCTGATATTAAACTGCATCTGTGTAGGAAAGCGCCGATATAGAACGGACAAAGTGGTACAACACGTTGCTTCTGTACGCGTTGGACAGTAAAGAGACGGAGGAATCGTTGAAACGAGACCCAGACGTTAGATTGATACCGTCCACAATCGAAAAAATCGTGATACCAAAATTAACATGTAAGGACAATATTGCGTCTTGTAGTTTACGACGTTGTAAACAATTTGACATTTTTAATATTCTGTGATTTACAGCTATCATCGAAAAAATATGGGATCCAATGTCAACGTCCCAAACGTTACGTCTTGTGGGTATCATAAATCGCCTAATCAAGGAATATCCGAATTTAAATGACACGAGCAAACAACTGGAAACGTTGTTTAACGCTATTTTGGATAAAATTAAAGCTGCCGTCGAAAACGATGTTTTTATACCAATATTTCCAAAACAGTGAGTATGTTAAATGTGTAATTGAGGTAGTGGTTAATATCTCAAGTAATTTGTATCTCACCGTTCTCCTCGGCTCATAATTTAACGTAATATTGCAGAGTTTGGGATACAAAGCATCAGTTTTTTCAAAGGCAATTCGCAATGGCTGTCAAGTTGCTGCGAAATTTATTGAGCTGGCAGGGTCTACTCGGAGACATGCAATTGAAGAACTTGGCATTGGGCTCTCTTTTAAATCGTTACTTACTGGCTGGACTGAGAGTTTCTTCTCCAACTGATGCTTTAGTTAAAGCAAACATGGTATGGTGATTAACTTTTGGTAGAGACGTGTTAATCGATAGTTATTATGTATTATTATTATTAGATATTTAATGTTTCAAATGAGTTGCAATTAATTAACTTTATGTATGTTAGGTTATGAGTACTCTGCCAAGAGCGTGGTTACAGGGCGAAACTATAGAACATCTTAAGATGTTCGCCTGCCTCATTCAGCAACTTAGCGAACAGTTGGATCAAGCAAATCCTGCACACAAGTAAGTGTTGATTGTATCGATTTTGCGACTAACGGCACCTTCGGCCATTTTTGTGCTGTTGTAAATCGCGTAAAGAGGGGTCGAATGACTAAGATCAAACTGATATGTTACAGTGAAGCCTGGGAATACGCCAAGTCCATCCTGAAAATAATTAAGCCTTTATAATCAATGTGTTTAATTATATACGTATGTTTCAATGATATTTTGTCAAATTTCTTGGTTTATTAGTATTAATATGCTTACCGATAGTTTTATACATATAACGCGCGCAACAACATTCTGTACACGATGTATGCATGCATACATGCATTACGATAAATTACCAGATGTATGGTATACATCTAAAAAAAAGAAACCCAACTTTTGTATAGTAATAAACTAAATAAGACCGACGTGACACACACTACAGATGTGGTTGTACATAATTGGAAAATAAACCTGTACATAATAGAATGTCAGTGTTCGAGTCTTATCTTTGAGAGGCTATCGAGAAGCTCAAAACTCCCGTTACTTTTATCATCTTTTTGTCACAATGTAAAATAATTTAACTGGGAAATAAGCGAGAGATCACTAGACAGTTATCCGAGTTATCCTAGAATTTTTACGCTTACTTCTTAAGGCGTATTTTGTAAAATTCTTTATCATCTGTAGTACAAGCAATTACGTGTGCAGGCTTTACATAAACAAAGGTACTAATATATTTACTGTGTAATTTAAAAATTAATTTCACGCACACACTTTAGTATACGTCAACAAACATTATTACACAATATGATACGTATGTACTTTAAATGCTTCTGTTGGAGGAAATGGCCAACAATAATATGATACACGTGTGACTCATATCATTGAAGATAATACGTCGGAAGAATAATTCCTGTGTGTATGTGTGCATGAACGCCTGCGTGTGTATCCGTAGGTCACAGTGATAAGAAGTGTAAGGGTCATGCCTCGACTTGCTGGAAGTTGATGCGCATTCGTCGAACTACGATCGCACATTATGGGTCTTACAGGTATATAAGTTAATTTTATAATAGATTATTGGTGTATTTTTTGAAAGGAAAAAAAGAACAAGAAAGCGGATGAGCGATCGAAAGATGGACTGTCATAAACGATGGGTCTATCGCTAGATATTAATAACGTGTCACTGGTAATTGAAGAAACGCCGGTCCTCGTATCTTCCATCTTTAAACAGTTTCATCACCGAAACTGTTTGCTTATTTAGACGAGCGATGAGAACGCATCGAAATGTATGTGTAACTAAAAATTGCGGAGAAAAATACGAGGGCGAGCGTTTAAAAAAACTGATAGTTTAAATGCACAAGAATGTTATAAACGAGATCTCTTTATTTTGCAGATCATAACTTCGTATCCAGACGCGTGCAAGGAACAGGAGGATTATTACTTGTATTCCTACTGTTGAACGCTGGACATGTCGTGCAAGGTTTATTCAGGTCCGGGAAGGAGTATGTGTATTCTTACAATGTTGTGTCGAGCACTGGTGTGTTAGTGCCATCTAACGCAGCCGCGTCTTGGAGTCTGAAAGGAAAACTCGTAATTCAGGCGGAAGATAATGTCGTCACCGCACAGGTATTCCTGAAATTAATGCAGACCCGTTTTTCTTTTCTTGTCTCTTTCCAATAGAATTTTTTTTATTTACTTGTTAATTTTTTTCTTTTTATTACTCCCTTACTTTATTACTTCATTAGAAATATAATACAAGAACTGTCGTTTATTGTTCTTATTTGTTGCTTCATAGTAAATCTATTGTGATTATCATGTGACATAATGTCCCAAATGTCTCTTGTCAGTTACAATCGTTGAAAACGAGCATGTGGAACGGAGAGGCGAAGAACATGGGTGACAACATTGATATCATCGATGATGATGCCTTGCTGCAACTCTTGAAGCCCTTCCAATTGTCGTACAACAAGGGTCTGATCGAGAATTTCAGCATCGAGGCTGAACCCGCGTGGGCGACGAATATAAAACGGAGTATAGCCGGAATCTTTCAATTGGATCTCTTCAATTTGGTAAAGGAAACGTTTCACTCCAGCGAGGTAAGCTACGAGCACTTCCGCGTGTCGATCGATCGGGCGATATTTTTTATTCTTAATACCGGCGCATGTATATTTAATAAAAAAATTATATCATATTTTTCGTCACAATACCGGCGCTCGTACATTCAACGTAAAGCTCTAATTTGCAGATAAATCATTACGGCAAATGCAATGTCGATTACATCGTGAGTCCTGAAGGAGAGAATCAACGTTTGATAAGAAAGTCGCTGGATCCTCGGATGTGCATCGGTCATCCGAATCGTCACTGGTCGAACGTTCCTAAAGTACAGTGCACCGACGAGGATCAAGTACGTTATTGACATTGGTGCATCTTGTTCATTTAATTAACACTTTCTCGATTAATATAATTATACCATGATCCTTTTTCAGAACCCCGTCCTAAAGAGCAGCGAGAGAATTTACAGATTGAGATTTACCGATGGACTTGCCCGCGATATCATTTTTGTCAACACATCCGGTGGTATCTACGTGCAGCCTTTTCAAAGTATGGGCGAGGCGCACTACCATTTCGTCGAGTACGTTTCGTGCAAATATGTACTTGTGTTGTCTTTGAAGTATGTTAGAGCTTTGTTAAATCGGCATCTCAGCCGACATCGGCGAATCAAGAACGTTAATTATAGTTGACATTAATATTAACGTGTATTTTCGACGCGTGTTAGTCATGTAACATTCTTTCTTCATCTCTCAGGCAAACGATGGAATTATTGTCGGTGGAGGATACGACGAATAAAATAGTCGCGAACAATTTACGAACGACGGTGCTTCAACACGAGCTACCAGAGGCGGATCTCACACAAGGGAGAGGCACTCCTGACAAAAGTTTTGTCTTTCAGTCTGTAAGTCCATCTTTTCTTGTATCTTCCTTTTGCATTTTATGTTTATTTGATGCGGCGAAATTGTTCACTTCGGTTGAATTTTCATTATCTTGCTGTGTAGATAAATCGCCTGCTGGACCGTTTAAGCCAGAGACTCGAAAATCCCGGCTTGGACACTGAAATCCTTAATTTGCACAACACTACGATATCCGTGCTTCTGTACTATCTCGGTATGCTGGATCGCGTGGATCTGGGAGAAGCGTACGATCGGCTTTTGGGGACGAGTTACAAGGAGGAAACGATACGGTATTTAGGACAATCTCCATTGTACTTTCTCTCTCTCTTTTTCTCTCTTTCTCTCTCTCTCTCTTTTTTATTTCTCAGGGCAAATTGTAACTAACCTCTGCATTTGTTGATTATCATGATTACAGGAATATGTTTCTCGAGGCGTTGCCACAGGTCGGAAGTAAGGAGTCTGCGCTTTTCATATTGGATCTTATTCAAAACAATAAAGTGTCCGACATATCCGCGATCCAGCTTCTTATGCAGCTGCCGTTCCACATCAGGAAGCCGGACGTATCGTTGCTAGCCAGTCTACAGCCTTTCCTTTTTATGTCGAATAAAATTCCCAGGGAGGTGCAGAACACCGCGATCCTCGCGTACGGGACGCTGATATACAAGACTTGTTTGGCGCATTGTTCACATAAGATCTTGAACGATTACGTGCGTCTGTACGTCGACAAATTCATAGGTAAATAACCATGGATTCAACTCGGTGTATACATTTGTAATTCATGCAAGAATTTACCAATTGAGAAGCGGATTCTTCATTGATATCAATGACACATTGGGGGGGAGGGGGGTATAATTAGACACTAACATCTTGCGGTCGACTCTCAAGGTCTCGATTTCTCGTCAGTTAATTATTTGTGACGCGTGTTGTAGAAAGTACACAGTACGAGCAGAAGATGATCTGGCTGGAAGGCCTGGCGAACATACAATTAGGCAGATTCGTCGAATTTTTTTTGGAGCCTATAGTCAACGGTATCAATAATGAATCGATGAATCGTCATTTTCGAGCACTCGCTGCTTGGGCTTCTCTCCCCATAGCGCCGCTGAGGCCGGACATTGTAAGTGTTTGACGCGTTTGGAATTGAAAGAAGAGAACAAACAGAATTCGTATCGTTCATACGACTATTTGATGCAGATCTATCCTGTGTACTGGCCAATATTAGTCAACAGAACTGAACATTTGGAGATGAGAGTAGCTGCGTTGACTTTGCTGGTCGTGTCGAACCCTACTCCCAACCGATTAATATCTCTGTATTGGTACATGCAAAGCGAATCCTGCCAGCACTTGTACAATTATTTCTACACGATGTTAAAATCTATGGAACGCAGCACGTTCCCTTGTTACAAGCCCATGTAAGTACATCAATAAGTATACCAATATATCAACGAGAGGATAAAAACAAAAAATTGAATTTCTTATTACTTCTAATAATACATAGAAGTATGAGAACAATTTTTTTTTTTATGTAATGTAGATTCTAATGAGATTCGGTAATTATTCTCGTTGAATTACTTTCAGAGGCAGAATTGCGGGACAATTTGGTCGTTTGCTCCGGAAACCGCTGAATGCTAAGTATCTTGTTACTGGCAATTACCTGGTTGACTATCAAGATTCCTCCAGGAGATTCGGTGCTGTGCTACACGGAATTATCATAGCCAACCCCTCGACAAATATTCCCGAAGTAATTTACGTAACTTTGAATAATTATGGCAGTGGAACGCACATTAATCACATATCCGTGAGTATATTTTCTCAGGCAACTGTTCGCTCTTACTGTCGTAAAACGTGAATACTGATGATGATTTGGTTGGCGAACTTCCTTGCGATGCAATTTTAGTTGTACGTCAAAGCGCAAGGAATCTTCCACTCGTTAGCGACTTCTTTCGACAATCCGACAAATATAAGAGATATTCTGAAAGAATTCAAATTGGACGAGAGAAAGAAGGGCCCCGCGCACTTGGAAGTAATTATACGCATCCAAGAAAAAACAGTGTTGTGCATCCACTGGAACGAGACAAGCATCGTCAGCGGATTGAAGTGTAAGTTTATAACGACTCAAGGTATGTCATTACTGCCCATGCCACGTTCCTCATGTATTCAATCTTTCAGATCTGTCCTCTTTGTCGGACAACATATATCGCATGTACCACAACATGGAATTTCATGTCAATCAGCAACGTATCAATGTGCCCCTGACGATAGAATCGCTGCAAATGACAGATTTCGGTACCAACGTTAGACTCGCGATGATGACAACGACTTTCTTCTCGATGAGGGGAAACTTTACACGCAATTTCCCCCAACGGAACAATCATGTTATTTTACGGTAAAAATCCTTGTTCGGGATATCCGCGCACATATGATTCATTTTGTGTGCGTTCGATGGAATAGAAATAGCAGAAGTATCGTCGCCTTACGTCTGAGTTTACGGAACTACTCTACACATACATGTTCGATATTCTTTCAGCACGTCTGTTCACGCCATCGAGACAATAGAGAATTACAATCCGTTGGTTGATGCGTGGCACAGCGCTCAGAGGATTCAGTCGTTCCACGGGTACCTTCCTGTCAACATCATATTCGGATTCGAAGAACGCCTATTTATTTCCTACAATGCTTCAGGAGGTAACGATTTTATTTTATTATATTCGGACTCCCGTCCGATTTTCATCATATTCGCTGCATTGTGGATTTTGATAATTTAGTAGTTTCAGATTTATAAGAACCCGCGGAAAACAGTTAAATATGTTTTAAATATGGTTCACACTTGTCTTTCATATGGACCAAATTAAACTTCTTAGATAAAAGCCAAAAGTTAAATTAAAAAATAATTTAATTCAAATATGTTCTTAACACGCGTTCAAATTAAATTTAAATACGATCCTGCCATTAGAATAATTTTTGTCCAGGCACATACATGGATCACATTAATACTTAATATCTAACTAAAATTGAGTCCAAATTTAATTTTATATTTGGAACAAATAAGATTTTAATCAATGCTCAACTCGGTTTTTAACTGTTTTTCGCGGTAAACGCCCAAATTTTACATATCGTAAAACTCGTATACTGTGTTCTCTCTCATTCTCTCAAATTCTTTCAAATTTTCATACTTTCCATGCATGTCTTTGTCACAGAAAATCTCAAGACAGGAATTACAGCACATGCTACAACGCTCACTAGTATTAGAGGCGCTTCTGTGAAATCAAAATTGAAACAATTTTGTCCTTCGTGTCCGATAACATATACAGTGGCTAAAACGCCCATCTCCAAGACGGAGGTAAATGTTTACTGTTATCAAGTACTTATTATATTTAATGAAGATGCAATTCATCCTATTTTCATCTCATTTGCCCTACAGACGGTGGATATTTTTAACATCAAACTTCCCGAGATAGGCGGTCAGATGCAAGTGAAGATGTTCGATTGTGAAAGCATAGTGTCGTACAAAAGTCTGGTTAACGAAGTTTGGTCTTCCCATCGAAGCAACTATCAGTAAGTGACGTGTCACTTACATTAATGCATGCCAATTTAGCTTAGCACTGAAAAATACGTATACAATAATCTATTTCCTCAAAAATTATACAGAGCATGGCCGAGCATGCAGTTTGCCTTGATCGGGCTACATCTCTTAGACTACCTCACTTACATGCCACCAAAAGGCAGTTGTGGATTAGCTGCTTACATCGAGGCACTTGATCCGACACCGTCGGAGGTTAGATTATCATTTGTATCTGAGTCATAAAATTAGAGGAGTTGCGCATAAAAATGCGCCGAAAGAGTTTGCTTTTGCGGAACTGCATGTGCGCAAGGAAAAAAGTCACTGATCATAGCGACAGTGAACGTTCCTTCTAAACGTAACATAATTTACAACTACGTTTGCATCTATATCTATCATATCAAATTCTTCTTACTAGACGAAATTGGAATACTCTAGAAACAGAAATTATCACATAGTATCTTTGACACATCGCGACTTGGAGTCCTCGCAGATTCTTCACCAGTGGAGTCTGTTCGCGTTATATGAGAGCATCAGTTCTCTGTCGGATGTCGTTAAAATTAAAGCATACAAAATCGTTCCTGACGAGCCCATATCAAAGGTGAGTTTAGCAATTTTACATCAAGAATCTATGACAACACTGAATACAACAGAAACTGACTATTGATCGATTTAGTTCTGCGTAGAGGCCGAAAGGCGCACGCCGTGGCAATGGGATTTCTTGAGCAACGAACCGAGCGATCTATCTCGCATTAAGTTAAATATTGCTTGGGGACCGTCCAACACCACAAAAGGAAAGTGCCACGGATCCTCTATAATAATGGACTTAATTGGCGAGGTCAGCAGCGAGCAGCTCGAGGAAAGCAGACAAGCGGAGGGGCTTTACGGCGAGTGCAAAAAGGAATCCGCGGGGAAAACTTTTATTCCTTATACAGACTCTTGTTACGAGGTGTCGCGGGAATTGTCGACGTTGCGAAGATATAAGATCGTCGCACGCTATGAAAACGTGAGTTCGACATATCCCGTGGAACCTCATAGTGTGCACACCGCAACAACATACTAATTTTGTTCGTAATGAAAACGACAGTTGCCGGAGAGCTTGTCCAAGTTGGTCTGGAGAATGTACGCCTTATACGATCTGATCGGTGGGAACAGTAGCAACGCGAGGAACTCCGATGAACTCGTAATAACCGCGGTCTTCCCGAAAGAATCGAACGTGGGTGAACTAGAGCTTAACGGGGACAAAACTGCAATCGAGTACAACTCGCGCTACGTCGATCTTTTCTTGACACAAACGAGGATCCACCAGTACACGGAGATATCTTTATTCAAAATGTTCTGGAGTACGTGATGTTACATCAATAGCATAATGTTATTGTATCCATAATCCGGAATTAGCTGAAAATGTCACGTCAGAATGTATAACGTATATCGTGGCTTCAAAAAAGTCTTCCTATTTCATCTAACTTCAATATGCGAGATAATTATTTAACTATGACTTAAATATTACTGATTACATTTAATATTTTAGGCACGTGTATTATAACAACAGATTCGATAAAGACGGCGTATGATATGACCTATAACTTCGCTAAGAATAATAAAGTGATACTACTTGGGCAATGTTATGATGAGAATCCCAGACTAGCTTTAACGGCAACCAATAGTATGTACGGAATTGACGTCAATTTGACTGACGAGTTGGAAGTTACACGGATCACAGCCGACGAAGATGGAGGGACCTTATATAATGCTACGTCGTTCGTGCAACTGCAATCCGATTACGTATTTCATATAATGGGAACTAAGAAGTAAGTGGAAAAGTCACTTGTGTTAAATAAAATCGAATCTAACAAGAGTGAAATAAGTAATTTGTAACGTTCGTTTTGAACGCAATCTTGCGACTAAAAAAAAGTTCTTTCAAATCACTCTTGTCGAGTCTTTGAACGTTGCAATGATGATGTGTTGTAATTATTATTATTATCTGCAGGATCAGAAGACATGAGAAGACAATCGATATTTTGCTATCCAATATCTTCCTATACATGCATTGGAGGCAAGAACAAATCCTGCTTTTCTTCCCGAATCATATGTTAGACTTCAGTTGTGGAATATGCACGCTCAACAGTCCCAACATTGACAGACTGTACGAAAAACTCTAACTTCGCAGAAGACTTATGCGCATAATACAATACGATAATGATGTTTACGTTAAAGAATTTTTGACGAAGAATTCTTGTGAAGAGAGAATCAGATATTAAAATATTGCAACCAATGCAAAATGATTTTCTGTGTTCTGTTGTTTTTAATATCTCTTTTTGTTAAATGTAACGCAAATAAGGTAAATAGCCGCGAAATTATGTGCGCACCATGTTAATACATGGATTTTCGGTCGTATTAAATGTAATCGGTCAATAGTCGAGCTTCATAAATCTGTAAGTCAATAGTCGAACTTCATAAATTTGTAAGTCAAATCATTCTCAAGTTAGACAATAACAACAATCATTTCTCAAGTTAGTAAATATTATCGACAAGTAATAAATGTTAAATATAATTTGAACATATATTGGGATTGTACTATTTATTATATATTTATATATTTCGATTTATTACATTTCATACAGTGAGTTTTTTTTATAAAATTATATCAAACTATTCGTAAATCGTTTGATTAAAGCTTCAGGAACTTTTTTCTTTGTTGTTTATCAAGAGATAAATGATAAACAATTTCATAACAGAATACAAATAAAAAATGTACAGCTTATTTATTAAATAGTTCACATTATATTTTATAAATAATATTACATATAAAATAAAAAAAAATGGTACTTAAACCTCATAAATTATTAAAAAATTATTAAAAATTATTAAAAAAATGGTACTTAAACCTCATAAATTATGTGTTCCTGTAACATTGAATCTGCCTAACATATAAGACTAACATTCAGAGCTTTTATTTTACTTGAGACAAATTTGTATGTGGATGTCAGATAATATTCGAATTGAGATTGCTTTAAATTTATATTTCCTCAATGTTTAGTCAAATATAATGTTATAAATATTACCGACTTTTTTTCTTTTCAAGCAAAGTGTTTTTACATCTCCAAACATAATTAATTGTTATTTCTAATCCGTAGAATTATTTTCAAGACACGTATCTAAATGTCGATTCATGAGATTTTCTGATATCAACTCCTTACACACTGGACAGGGATATTTATCTTCAATAGAATTCTTTCCTGTAGCAGACATATTACCATCATCTTTATCATCTATCATGATTGTATTGTCGTTAAAAATGGCTCCTATGCATTCATCTAGGTGTTCACTTAAAGTTGTATCCGATGCAATCTGTGCATTGCACACCAAACATTTCTGTTCGCAATTTGTCGCACTGCTTTCACTCGCATTAATATCAATGCAAGATTGTGCCTTTGGGCTTTTGTTAATGCCAGAATTATCCGAATCAGAATTAGAAGAACTGCTTATATTGATTATGCTGTCATCTGATGCGTGAACATTTGAAGGAACTTTGTTATCTCCCCATATAGCCTCATTGTCATCTGAGAAACACTCATTAATATGCATATGAATATCATCTGCTGGAAATACTTTCTTACAAAAATAACAGCTCTTGAATTCAGTATCATCATCATAATCATCTGAATCATTTATTTCGAAATGCTCATTATCTCTATTTGTAAGCTGTATCTTCATTACATTATGCAATCTCAATGGCGTGAGAAACAATTGAACAGGCGGTATCAATTTTTTATTATTTCGAGTACGCGGTATAAATCTTTTATTATTTCGAATAAGCGATGCTAATCTTCTACTATTATTAAGCTTATCAATAAATGATGTAGAATTTGTGTTATATTTACTATCTGTCTTTTTTTCTACTTGATTTCTTGACTCATCTAAATTTGAAATTGGTTGAAGTTGTGTCTGAGAAATTGGTTGAAATTGTATCTGAGAAATTGGTTGAAGAGGCTGTGGCTGAGAATTTGAAGTAGCATTACCTGTATAAGCTTTATTGTGTCTTGAGAGACATTCATTAGTATGCAGATAAATAGTATCTGCTGGAAGCATCTTATCACAAATAAAGCAGCTCGCGTATTCAGTAAATTTTGGATCATCTAACTTCAAACGCTTATTACTTGTGTTTGCTGTTTGTTTCTCCAATGGTGTGAAAAATGGCCGAATAGGTGATGTCAATTTTTCATTACTACTATTATTAAGCTTATCAATCAATGGTGTAGATTTTGTGTTGCATTTATTATCTGCCTTTCTTTTTGTTTGACTCTTTGATTTAATTAAATTTGAAATTGGCTTATCAGCAGGCTTCCGAAAACATTCTGTGGCTGATGATAACTTTGATAATACATATTTTTCATTTAATTCATTTGGACGATTTTTACTGTTACCCACGTGCAAAAATTCTTTCAAGAGGCGACTCTGACCATTGTTACTGCCTCCTAAAGTACCGAAGCAAGAAAACATGGGAGTCTTTGAAGAAATGTGTTTTGTATTATCTTTTTCAATCTTTCCACTTGGACCACTAATATTCCAGCCATGCACATTATTGCTGGTATTACCAAGCTTTTTCACTCCCAATAGCGAATCTTGATCACTTTTGCTATTATCTTTGTTATTGGCAGTTTTACTTCTGTCTATTTGAGTAATTGTTTGAGTAAATCTTTTAACTTGATTATGAGTAAATACTTTTGGATGTTTAAATGTAAGTGACGATTTATCTATTGTTGGAGAGTTCCTTGCAAACCAATCGACAAGAGTATTATCTTTTAACATATTATTCTTTGAAGTTGACTTTGACTTATCTTTTTGCTTCGATTTGTAATTCTCTGGCTCTTTTATCTTTATGAACTGTCCATTGCAATTTAGTTTATGTTCAGCCCACCAATAGTCGGAAGGTCCAGGTGCACGATTCATAACTCGCCGCACCATTCCAAAAAATGGTGATCTAAACCGACAAGGTCCATTGCATTTCCACCAATGTTGCTGATACAGTCTTACTTCATCGTGAAAATTGTGGTAAATCTATATTTGTTCAAAGAAACCACAAAATCAAATTAAATATTGACAAAATGCTTAAGATAAAATTAATAAAAGTAAAACTCTTACTATAAATAGTGGATATAAATCATATCTTAAGTATCAAAGTAAATTAATTACTTATTATACTAACTGTTATATTAGTTCCAGCTTCTTTATTTATCCTGTACATATGTTCACAGAAATTAGGCCCATGACCATCTCTATCACGATTGTTGTTTGTCAAGAATAAGTATGCATGGATCATTTCATGCTGCAATTCAATATAAAAAAAGTAAGTTTAACGTTCCTAATATAATTTAATATAATTTTGTTTTTATGATTTAAATATAAAAAGTAAAAGTTTGTAAAAAGTAAAAGTCACACCAGTAAAGTTTCCACGAGATCTTTCCTTGGTCTGAGTTTAAGCAATGGCTCACTGAGTGTAATTACACATTGCTTATTATGAAAGCTACAAGTCCCAGCACAACTACAAAAAATATTACTTACTTATATGCTATGAATAATTACATATATACATTATGTATAAATGCCAAATTATATTTACCTTGTCATTCTATTACTCCACTTAACTTCAACAGGAGCCAAAACATTCAGAAAAAATCGTGCATTGAATTGTACAAATAGCGTATAAATGTTGGGAGTAGGATCTATTAATTCCAATGTATGGTCAACCAATGTTCTTGGCTCATAATTTTCCTGGAAATCAAAGATTTTTCTTTTCAGTTTGTGTGAAAAGAATATTAATAAGCAAATTTTTTCTCTATATATGACACTCTTAATACAATAGAAACAAAATTGACTTAATTCTTTAGGAATTGATACCTTTTCTGGAAGAATTGCATTTTCTGTTACACCTAAACAGTTGAACTTTCTGTGGACATCATGTGCCACAAAAAAATCATTCGTTTTCTGTGATGTCATTTTCCTCAATGTTTGTCCTATATTCTACAAAGTTTACATTTATTCTTTTCTACTCAAACAAAATTGTAGCGTCTCACACGATCTCACTTTCATAATACACGTAGTCTTCGAAATATATTTCTCTCTCTCTTCTTTTTTATTACATAATTAAATCTCTATTCGAGAATACAAAACCATATTTTTGAAGAATTCACAATCCGAAAAATATGGACGAATATACGTAACACATGAAAAACTTAAAAAAAACATAAGTTGTTTTATTTAACTATATCACTCATGCTATCAGATAAAAGCCCAAAAACGATAATGGCGACCATTGAGCCAAGAGTATACGGCGTAGTTGTCCTATTGTAAAAGACTACGTAGAAAATTTATAAAAGCCATCACATACTTTCTGTAATAAGACATAACGGTAAGGTTTCGACCAATCGTATTGCTCGTTTCAAATAGTTACGGTTACGGACAACCGAATCGGGCAACACGATTGATCGAGAAATAGGAAACGCGTACTACTGAATAAATAAATTTTTAGAATTCCCCAAGAATGGTTTTCCGATATTTCAGAATCCTCCAAAATTATGTGCGAAGAATTTAACAACTTTTTATTCAATAATGTATCAATATACATGCGGCAAATTCATTTTATGGCCCCAACGTAACACTTTATGCATAATTCGTAATTCGTGATTTGTTTTTATATGTATTTTTTATACTTTTCGTAATTCAAAAAATTTGACAATGTTCATGATTGGTCGCTTTTCGAACAATGTAATTCTGTATTGCACAAAGCTATTTTATTAACTATATATTATCTTAGAAAATAGCTTAGATAATATAGCAGCCAATGGAATAACTTTATGTAACACAATGGTTGCGTTTAGAAAACACAACGGTTACACAACGGTTGAATAATTCGTCAACGTTATTGGCCTGAATGTAAGAATCTAATAGTAAGGATCAATAGTTATTAAGCGCTCAGTGAGCGTTTTTTTTTTTTTTTTTTTTTTTTTTTATCAATATTGTTATTAAGCGCTCAGTGAGCGCTTTGTTTTCTGAACGCAATCAACGGCTGCGTTCAGTAGAACAAAATGATCAGTGAGCGCTTAGTGATTATTGTCTGTGATTGGAGCATTCTTTTAGATTCTTCATAGACCCAGAAGTATTTACCAATCAGGAGCGAGAATCACTAAGCGCTCACAGATCACTTTGTTCTGCTGAACGCAGCCAGTGTTTCCTTGTTTGGAAAACGGCCTTTCGATGTAACGAGGAAGGTAGTCACGTGGTAGGTCTTGCCGGTTATCATCACTGATTGTTGTGATTGTGTAAATATTGTGTATATGAATTATACACACAAATGATTGAAAATGATTATTTAATACGTTAACTGAAAATGTATTCGCTTTAGGACAGACAAAAATTCGAATCAGTTACGGATATCTTGTTCTAAAGCAAGGTTATAAAAAGATCAAGTGGCTTCTAATATTTTTGTATGTAAAATACAATTATGGTACGATATTTCTTTAGGTTTTCGTACATTGGAACGCAGTATAGGTATAATTCAAAATATTAATATTATAGCACGCTTGATTTTGTATCTAAAAAGATTTTTCTGTTTTCCTTGTGTAATGTATAACGTTGCTATGAAGAGGTGTACAAAAACAAGTTTCCGTGCCAAATATACGGGATGGTGATACCGTGCAAGGTGCTTTAGAAGCTGCTCTATTAAATATTTTGCCAAAAACTACAATTAGACCAAATATATATCTTTCTAGCAGGTATATTTTTTTATCTTTTGTATATAAAATTAACTTTTACATATAAAATTGTATTTTATAGATAATTAAAAATATTTAATATAGCTACAGTATTTAACATAACTAAAATATATAACGTGATATAAATTTATAGAACAGATGCTGGAGTCCATGCTTTATGCAACGCTGGTCATGTGGAGCTTGAAAACAAATATAATGTTTTATATAAGGATGATAATATAAAAGCATTTGTTAATCGTTATTTTAACAAATGTGGTCATACTATCAGGTAACTATTTTGAGAAACCTTTTTTATTTACCTTAATTTTTAATTACTGATTGTAATTTTTAACTTTAATTTCTAATTTTAATTATTATATAACATTTTGTTATTTTATTGTGTAACATTATGTTGTAACATTTGTTATTTGGTATATTGATTAAAACTATTCTAGATTATTGGAATTTACACCTGTTACGAACGACTTCCATGCAAGGGGATCATGTAAATCCCGGACTTATATATATAGATTTATGATACCCAAAGTACCTGGAGAACAGAGAATACCCTTAGTAGATGCACCACATACTTACTTAGTGAAGTAATTAACTAATTGACCTAAGAAACAAAAATCAATTTATTATTTATTTTATCTCATTGTAATATATATTCCAGAGCACATGATTTCGATGTAGATAGAGTCAAATGTGGTACGCAATTGTTTATGGGAGTAAAAGATTTTACTACATTTTCTTCGATGTCAATAACAAATCGGAAAATTGAGTATGTACGTGCTTTGCATGACTTTACTTTGGAAGAGGCACAATCTTTAATATCTTTTGATCCGCTATCTGAGAATTTTAGATATTTCCAGTTTGTATGTAAGGCAAGATCCTTCTTGTATAATCAGGTAACGTTTCTTTATAAGAAATATGCATAAAAAAGAATAATAAAAATGTTTCTTATTGTTATTCTGTACAGGTGAGACGAATGGTCGGTGCTCTAATATCCTTGGGACTAAGGAAAATAACAGAAAAAGATATCAATGTTATGCTACAAGTTCCTTCGCATCATAATTGGAATCCCCGTGCCTCGTCAGCACCAGCAAATGGTTTACATCTTGTGAATTTAGAATACGATGAAGAGGAACTAAAACGTTGTACCTTATCAGAGGAGCAACATGAAAAAATGTTACTGGAACAGCAGGATCAGAAAGTGCAGTCAGAAGAACAAAATCAAGATCTGCTACCAGAGGAGCAAGAAGAACAAGAGCAAGAACGACAGCAAGAATTAGCAAAATAAAAAGAAATTGTTTATATATCTGTGTTGAAATAGTTGGAAGACAATATTTAATTTCCTCTCTACTTACATTGTTCAGTTGTAACTATATTTTAGAACCAAATAATAATTTTTTCTTAGTACAATGGATCTACAAGACCTTATCGCAAAAAAGAAATTGTCACTAAAGTCTTGCAAAACTATGATAACGGATTCGTTGGGCAACAAATATGAGGTCGAGCAAGGTCGAGTGAAGAAACTAGAAAGAGGACTGCCATTTGTGGTAGATGAGAAGCCTGATCTACAAGTTGCCAGTGTAATACCGGGACTGTATCTCAGCTCTCAAGATCCAGTGGTTTGCAGTGATATATTGAAGAAATACAAAATAGGACATATTTTGAGCATAGGTATTAACATTTCTGAGAAATTTGACGATATTCGGTATTATAATTCTGATTTGTTAGACTTGCCAGAATCGGATATAATGCCGTCAATAAAGGAATGTGTCGATATCATACACGCGAATCGTAAAGAAAATATTCTTGTGCATTGTAACGCTGGTGTTTCTCGCTCTCCCGCAATCATTATTGCTTATTTAATGACGACGATGAAACTGTCGTACAATGAGGCTTATGAAAAAGTAAAAGGGGCAAGAAGTTGCATCAAGCCTAACGACGGATTCGTAAGACAATTGCAAAGTATTGAAAATACTTCTCTCGATAAACTGTAATATTCTGATATATTTAAAACGTGACAAAGATTTTATATACCTTGTTGTGCAACATCCGCGACTACTAATGTGACTACGTCCATTATTTTATTTGTGGCCAAAATCAAAGAGGCAGAAAAGAGATAATACACATGTGATAGAGCAAGTAAATGGATCAATGATGTAGTATATTGTTACAATAGAATCCACGTGTTATAACATTATTTACTTATGTGTACAGAGAATATTGTTTTATATAATTACAATATATCTTATTATATTATAACTCATTAGAAAATTATATTCATGCACAGCATCTATCAAATTCTTAGCCAAAACTAAGCATATTAAAATTTACTAATTCTGGCTCTCTTACATTTATCATGCATTGGAGATGACACATAGGTCGCCGTACCAAGTAGATTTATAAAAATTACTGTAAATCTAAAAAATATAAGTGAATTTCTGTATACATGATAATCTCCTATTATTTAATTCGCAATATAGTGTATCATTATACCCATGGTACCTATATATATTACCTATTACATATTACATATATTAATGTATAGAATAGTTATTATCAGTATCCATATATGTGTGATGTGTTATATACAGGATGTACTAAAACCACCAGATGATACTTTAAGGACGGACAGTTTTTTTTTTTCAATTTGAAATATATTATTGCTACGCGGTAGAAATATAAAAGAAATATACATATATAACAAACTATCAAGCTTTGAAACAAGTTAAAAGTGTAATTTCACGAAAATTCCTTCTCATGAAAAAAATCTTCAAGATCTCAGACGAACTCGGCGATCTCTGAAAGGACTTCATTCCGAGATTTGACTATTATAACGTTTAATATCGAAGTATGAAAGACTTCATATTTCGACATATTGTAATATAACTAAATGACATCTCTGATATTTTGGCTAAAACGGAAAAAAAGGAACTCTTCAATCTTGCCGGAGATTCCATCCTAAAAATATCAACTGATAATTTTCGGATATCCCGGATAATTTATTTATATGTATAATCTATTATTCACATTCCTCCAACAATTGAAATGAGCTGTCTCGAAGAAAATAGACAAGGCACTTGAACTGAATATCTTTTTCTTAGCTAGTTGGCCTCATAAATAGTAGAATGTAAGAATTTGCACATCAAAACTGTATACGAAATTGTAAAACAGGACAAATAAATAAAGCCGGCTATCGAAAGGAATTCGTGTATCGTTCGCTACTCGTGTAACATCGAGATAATTTGACGATTCTCTGCAACAGTGCCGATCTTACGTATTATGCTTGGTGATTTTTAAGCGGCGCGGGAGTATCAAGGCCTTCTAAATATTGCGTTCCTCGAACGTCCGACTGATGATTCGCAGGCAAGGATCAAAAGTAGTATAATTTCGGTCAGTTCAAATTACGTCGCTAAAGACGCGTTAAGAGTACGATTCCTATAAAGTGTTTGTTCGAGACAATGGAAATTTACGGCAAGCAACATAAGAGATACATATTTTTTTTCTCGTCTCCAGTATCGAAAATTCCTCTCGCTCACGGAAATTATATCGGTTTCAATCCTCGATTGCTGATCTGTCGCTCGATGATGAATATGCGTTTGATACACACACATCGACAGATTTCTCATTCATATCCTAGCGAAATCTTCAGAGACGCAAGCTGTGAGTCTGTAGAGTAATCAGTTAACGTAGTAAAAAATTACGTTAAACTCTAGGAACAAACTCTCCCTTAGAAAGCCTTTACGTTGTTTTTCCCCTCTCCTTTCTTCTTCTTCATCTTATCCTTTTTTTTTTTGATTCGCGAAGATTTTACAGTACAAATTTCAACAATCGTGATGTAGTTTTGGAAACCACCTCACTAGTGGCACAACGCAACGAGAAAATGCGATATATGTACAAAAAGATATAAATAAATTAACAAATTATTATGCTAAGTCCAACGAAAAAAACGTACGACCGTTTGCGGTCTATACGCGGGACAGAGATTATCTGAAAGTATATATAATACACGAATAAATTGGTTGGATTCTGCAGGAAAGAAACCAACGCAGGAGTAGATCCATCCCTCATTGTAGAAGACAAATTGAGAATACAGGGAACATAGAATCAATTTGCATTTTACGACGAAGAACATACGGTTGGCTTTATTTGACTTTATTTCGTTTCCTCTTTCGCGGGTTTGGTCCTTTTCTGCAGAAAACGTTCCGATTATTTCCCACGAAGCCACAGTCTTAAGTACAACATATCTGTATCTGGAAGGCATATATCAACAGAGATAAAAGCCACGAGTTGAGTCGAGAGTGCACGAGACCACACGCGCGACCGCGATTGGACTCAGAGACATGGCGATGAACTTAGAACATGCATTGCAGTTACAGATATATAGGACATCGGTATATTATGAATTGTAAATATAAACATCATCGTCAAACGTTGTGTAGTAAACCAGTGTCAGAGTCCAATAGAGTGGCCAGGTCGTATGCAGCAACGTCAGTAATGGAACAGGGAACCACCCAACACAAGTGCGTTATGCGTGTATGAGTCGTGTGTCATGTGTACATGTGTATATGTGTGTGTATGCATGCGAAAGAGAAAGAGAGAAAGTATGTGTGTGTGTGTGTATGTGTGTGTGTTGCGTGCATTCGGTGTGCACATGTGTACATGCGTATACGTATGTAATGTTTTATATATCGTTTGTCAGAGGAAAGTTATCTTATATCGTTAGTTTAACCATCGATTCGTTCCATCGACTTTCTCTAACGGATTTAATAGATCTACATTTTAACGCTTAACTCCCCACGGACCGTCCGGAGTGGCGACAGGTACGTGGGAGTAACCGGCAAACTGAGGGAATTCCTCCACGCTAGCTGTGTTCGGTGCGCTTTGAGGCTGCTGCTGCTGCTGCTGCTGCTGCTGCTCCCACGGTCCTCCCTTCACTATGAAGCCGGCGTCGTTCTCGCCGCCGCCGACGATGCCGTCGTTGCGCTGAGGCGGCAGCAAGCTTTCGCGGTACTCGTTCTCCACCACGTCTTGCATCTGCCGATTACACGCGGGTGATTTATATCGGTGTCGTTTTGTAAGTATAGGATCTCCCCCGTTTCTGCTCACGCTATGAATGCACCTCGGCGGACGATACTCACATACTCCTCCTCGAGATTCAGCAGACGATCCCTGGCATCAGCCACATTCTCCTCCGCTCCTACGATCGTCACGATGTTCGGATCGGCATCGGTCTTCCTCGGGAACTTTATGTCCACTTTAAATTCGTCCATTATCTTGCGGATGTTCCTACCCTTCGCCCCGATCAATCGCGAGTGCACGGCGGCGTTTATGTGCACTTCGTCCTTCGTCAAACCATTCTGAGGAAGAAAAAGGTACGGGGAAAATAACGAATGTCGTCAGTTTTATTGAACGTGCAACATTCTCGGCAGAGAGAATTTTTCTTGCAGCAACCAGCCAACTCACCAGTTCGTTAACAATTTTCATGATATCGTCTCGCGCGCTGTACGCATTCTTCTCGTATCCTGTTATCGTGATGATATGCTCCTCGGGCTCGCCCTTGCGCGGGAAGTTAATCTGGACGTCGTGATCACTCCGTATCTTACTAATCACGGTCCCCTTTCGGCCGATTATCTTCGGGTGATACTCCGGATCAACTTCGAGCTGCACCGTGAAGTAACGCAGTTAAATCCACATGCATAACAAACTTACCTTTATATTTAATCGCACGATCAACTAACCTTCAGTTCGAACGACTTTAACGCTCGATCCTGTCGCTCGGCCTTCAGTGCCTCACACTTCTCAAGGATAGCTTCCTTAGCGTTTTGGACACATGATGGCGTTCCGGAGATCTAAGAAATCGATGGAAAAGAGGCAAGATGTGAGATACGTATGTCTCAAGTCCAATAATTAATGCTACCTTGAATAAATCACCTTGATATAATCCAGCTTCTCTTCCGCCGGAGAGAGCATAATGTGCACATCGTACGTATTCATCAGCTCCCGCACGTCTTTACCCTTTTGCCCGATTATTGAGCGGTGGAAATCAAACGGTACGTCTACCTAAAAGCAGAAGACGACTTTGCTTGAGAACGGTTTTATCGTTGCGAGAGCAGTTCGATGCGGGAATATCAATGAACCAACTTGAATCGTAACGGGCACGAGATCGAGCAAAGCTTGCTTGGCAGCGGCAACGTTCTCCGGTTGCCCAGTGATGCGAATTATATCGCAGGCTGGGACAGTCTCTCCAGCTTCCCTGTTCTCACCGTTAATTTGTTCCGGTATCTTTTGCTCGTCTGGAAGGATAACGTATGACTGATTAGTGTTCTTCTATAAGAATGAGTCGGACGAGCTTGTATCGAATCAGTTAACGCGCTAACTAGGAGCAAAACTCGAGACTAACCGTACACATCGCGATCAGGGAACTTCACTTGTACGTCGTACTCGGATGTTATACTCTGCACTTTGCGGCCCTTGGCGCCCATCACTGTGCGATGGTGTTTCTGAGGTATTATGCACTCCACCGTCACCATTGATTCCTTAATTAATAGAACAGCGAACGTACAACGATCACAATAACATATAAAAATACATATGACGTAATATGTAATATCGAATAAATATATTCAACGTGTGCTCGTTCGTAAAGAATTTACCAATTCCTGGACAATTTCTCGCATTCGTTGTTTCGCAGCTTCTATGCACTCGTGCGAGCCTTTCAAGATGACACGATCGCTATCGACACCAGCCCGCGGAAACGAAATCTGCACGCCGCCGCATTCATCGGCGATTCGATGCAGGACACCACCCCTTCGCGCTACGAAATGTCTGTGATGCTTGGGATCGATGCGGATTTCACCCTCGGTAATGTTGTCCTAGAAAAATGCATTAAAAGAGATCTCAATTATTATTATTAACATGTATATTACGGCGTGTCTACAGGTTACTCGGAAACAGCAATCTCCGTACAATCTCCTTGATGGTAGCTTCTAACTCGGCTTTAGCCTTCTCCACTGCTTCCTTCTTGCCCATAATTGTAATCACTTCTTTATCTTGATCTTCCTCTGTCGGGAAGATAATTCGCGCGCCTGTGGACTCCCTTATCTGGAGCAATGGTCAGATTAGAAATCTACTTATCAAGCAGCATCTTGAAGTATAAATAATGTTTCCTGCACTTCACCTTCTTAATATTGGCACCATTCTTTCCAATAAGGAATTTGTGGTGTTGAACTTTGGCACGGACTTCAGCTGAGAAACTGGACAATTGCTTTTCATTGGTCAGTTCCATAAGTTGCAATTTTGCCTTCTCTACATCATCTTTTGGGCCTCTGATGCTAACCTATACGAGAATATATATATAATAAAGATTCAGTAGAAATTGACTTTCTGATGAAAGAATATTCGTAAGTTTTCTTTTTTCCTTTCCTCTTTACCTTATCGCTTTTACTTTCCGCTGTAGGGAATTTGATGGTAACACCTCCGCAGTCCTCCATGATAGAATGTATGAGTTTACCCCCAGTGCCAATGAGTGAGTTGTAAAACTTTGGTGGAATAGTGATCTCATCGGTAACAATGTTGGCCTAGTATATTTCAATGAAATGTACTTATAAATTTTCCCTAAGTATCGGAGAGAAGATATGAAGTATCATGCAAATAATTACCAATTCATTTTGGATCTTTTGTATCATTTCTTTAGCCTTCTCTACATTCTCCTTTTTGCCAGTGATGATTATAACATCGCTCTTATCACCTTCGGCGGGCAAGTCGATCTTCGTTTGAGTTTCTTCCCTAATCTGCACAGTATAATTAATATGTGTATTAGTATATGTAAGTATAAAAACTGAATTACAAACAATTTATTTAGTACAGACCTTACGGATGTTGACACCACCTTTTCCAATAACAAACTTATGGAATTGTTTAAAAATAGGTACTTCCAGCACATGATTGCTTTCGTTCAGCTCTTTCACCAGCTTCATTAGATGTTTATGGCACTTGTCAACGTCTTCCTTGGGTCCTCGGATTTTTACTATATCCCCCTTTTCACCTGCACACAAAAAGTTTCGGTCAGCTCATAGATAAAAAGCGTTGGCATTATTAGACTAATATAACATTTATCATGTTACTATAAAATGACATGATGAAATTCGCTGATACTTACCAGGTCCAGGTATGGTAATTTGTACTTGATTAAATTTATCTCTAATCTCTTTAATATTATCTCCCTTGTTACCGATTATGTTACGGTAATATCTGTGATCTATAATCACGTCCTTTTCCTTCTCATTTTCGAGTTTTTTCACCATCTCTACAAGTTCCTATAAATTATTTGTAAAATATGTATGTTAATATTTCTTTACCTGTGTATTTGACGATAAAATTGCTATTAGACAACAACATAAGTACGTACTGTTTGAGCTTTTAATACACCAGCAAGATTGCCTTCAATGCGAATAACATTACTGCCATCATTCTCAGAAATATTAATCACGACACCTGTTCCTTCCTTAACACGGTTGACTAATGAAAAAATAATTTTATGCAAATACAGATCTTTTCTGTTGTATGTTAGAGCAAAGCGGTAGAAATAATTGCAAATAATAAACGTTGAAAATAGATTACTTACCGTTGCAACCGTTTTTTCCAATGATATGCTTGTAAAATCTTGGATCGACATTCAATTCTGTGAAAGTAAGCTTGGCTATAAGATCGCTAGCCATAAGCTGCAGCTCATTCTGTGCTTTCTCTACTTCCTCAGGTGGTCCTTCTATCTTAATTTTGTCTTCCTTGCCTGTAAACTCTACATTTACCTTTGGCATCTCTTGAGTAATTCTCTTGATGTTCACCCCCTTACGTCCAATGATATATTTATGTATCCAAACCGGAGCTTCTACTACAGCAGTACGAACACTGTTTGCCTTTTCATACACTTTGTTAAGAGCTGTAAGTATAAATTTATATTTAACATTTAACTATACAGTACGATATTATTTACCAATTAAGCAGTAAATAATATTTTATTTACGTAAGTCTCTCAAAATTGCTTACCTTGACCAAGTTTTTCTTGGGGTCCTCTAAGAGTTATTGTACCAGTTGCTGAGTCAGGCGCAGGCATCTCTACGCTCACTCCGGTCGTTTGCAGTATCTCTGCTATGGTACTACCACGAGGTCCAATTACATACTTGTGCTGAGACTTGGGAACTTCTACAGATACCGTGGTACATCTTTTTTCCTACATTAAAAAATTATATGTCATCATATAGTATCATAAAAAATAATACATATCATAAAATATCACAAAAATAAGATGGAAAAAATTTCGTAAAGGTACCATGTCCTTATAAATGGCCTCAATCTTCTGTTTTGCAGCTAAGACTCCTTCTTTCTCACCAGCTATGGTAATTTCATCTTGTTGCACCGATGCAGGAGGGATATTGATGCGAGCACCAGTTTCTGCCATCATGGCATTGAGATTTTCATTGTGTGCACCATATATGAATGGGTGATATATTTTTGGCACAGTGATTCTTTCAAAAGCTTTCCTAGACTGCAATATTCATAATACAAAAATTGGTGAGCATACATTTGCAACATATCTAATTTCCAATTAATCTAAAAATTTACCTGTTCATCAGAAATAACTCTAATTTCATGTTCAGCTTTTTCAATCCCTTCTTTTGTTCCTGTAATTGTTATTATGTCTGATTGATCTTGCATACCAGGGACATTAATCTTTGTAGCAGTTTTCTGCTCCAAATCTTTCAGCCTCTGCCCTTGTTTTCCAAGAATCCAACGATGATGATCCTTAGGAATAATGATCTGCTTACTTGCCTAAAAAAAATATATATATATATAAATACAAAACAGCAATGATTTTTTCCAGACTGTAAACATAGACAAGAGTAAAATAGCTGTAGATATTGAAGAAGTTTTATGTTATGGAGATAAATATATAAAACATGTACACTTGTGAGCTTTTTAAATTTACACATATTTAGTAAATATTTACATTTGGTCGGTAAGAGCATAATACCTGAGTTTGAAATGTTGTTAGAATGCGTCGTTTAGCTTCTAGAACTTGATTTTGCTTTCCAGTTATAAGAAACGTCAGAGACTGGTCCTTAGAAGATGCAATCTCAATAATAGTGTTTGTCTCCTTCATAATAGTTTTACATGTACGAATAGATTCACGTTCCCCAAATTTATCACTATGATCAAATTTGCGCTCTTCTCCTGGTACACGGAACATCTGTGTAGAAACAGGATATAAGATAAACAAATAGAACAAGTAAATTTTTACAAGTAAATTTTTATAAGTAAATTTTTACAAGTAAATTTTTACACAAATTTAGGTTGAACATACCTGGGTAATATTTATACGTCCAAGTTGTAAGTTGTTGTTTATAGAAAATATGTTTAATTGACCAGAACTGGAGCTAGCCGATTCGGGGAGGACAGGGAATGTCTCATCGTAAGTAGGTGGCTCGTAGGCCGTTCCCTCTTCCATTACTGACTGCTGCTGCATTTTGGGGTTGTCCTGTTTCGTGCCAAGTCCTTACAGTAGCACTATAATACAAGTGAAAACATTCTGTTTTTTTCTAACAGAATAAATATCAAAAGTAAAGATGGAATAATACAAATAAATACATATATATGCAGTAATTTATAACAATATCACAAGACAGATGAAACAACTCATATTTTTATTATACATTATACATTATATTATACATAGATTACATATTATGTAGCTTTTATGGGAAATGAAAGGAAATATAGTATGCAAAAAATGGAAAGAATATAATATATGGCATAAAAGAATTATATAAAATTAACTTGACTTCAGTCTCTCAAAATGTAGAATTTTGGAGCCTTGATAATATATCCGTTTCGTCTTCCGTTAAAACTTGATTTCAGTCTAATTCTCCATAACTATATCACGTAATATCTCTCCAAAGTATTAATTTTGCGACATAATGAAGAGAAGATGGATTATCGCTGAGCAAGAAGTTGGTAGTTACGGCGAAGATAAATGTTCTCCCGAGTGACCCGATAATCGCGAGGGCCGCATCTTCGGAGATCTTAACGGACGATAATCGAGCCGTCGTACGCGATTTCGCAATGTATGCGGGACATTTTTTTCGTCTATTTAACTCATTCACAGCGAGATTCAAGTTTCCAGACGGGTCTCGCGATTCCACGCGAATTCGGTCGGTTCGCGAGTCGCATGGCGCAACGGCTCATGACATCGCAGATTTTTCAGGGCTCGCTCGAATTTTCAAACATCGGACGATCGTTAATGAGGGATCGACGGGCAAATGTGCGTTGAGTGCGAGCATGTCAATGACCAGTGTGGCTGAGACGATGACCACCATATGGAATGGAGCGTTAACTTGACACGTCACGAGACGTCGCTAACCTCTCGCGTCGGAGGAACATCTGCACGTCGCGACACCGAAATCGGACACGGGCACGGCAGGAAAAGCGCGATGGAGACGGAGACGACACGAATGGAGAACGCGACGAGTATCCGGAGTATCGCGCACGGTGCTACCGAGGGTCCGCGTACGTCGAGCGAGGAGGAGAGCACGCGTCTCACGCAGCCACCAGCAGGCAGCGAGGCAAGGACAATTTTGAAATTGGTACTTACTCTACCGTAATAAAGAAATCCGGCCCAGTAATAAACGCGTATTACGTAGCCAGTTTAACAATGGTTTGCCTGAAACATTTACAATGACGATTACGAGGGATGAACAACGCACTCCGTGACGCGAGATCTAATTGAATTAGCGTGCAACGAATTATCGCTCATTACTCGAGACTCACGACTTTCCTTACCGGTAACGCAAAGTGAAATGAGACTGAACGAGACGGAGCACCCTCGGACGGCGAAAAGTCACCAACGGTCTAGAGAATACGTACGGTGGGATTGCGTTACCGCGATACCAATGTCGCGATGGATGAATCGTCGAGAGACAAATCTGTCGGGACGAATCCCCTAAATTCTTTCGTCATCTTTCGCGTGTGTCGACTGCCGACTCGAGAGCTTGTAGGTAATCCTTCGCAAAAAATCGTAACACATGAGAACTATCTCGCGGAGGATTCACGTTATATACTCGAATACACGGCGTTTCAATATTTCAGAAAAAAAGTCGGCTGAGAGGAGATCCCAATACCACCATATCTTGCGATATCGATATCGATCATGTAGCTTTTCCCTAGACGCGGAATCGTGGACAAGTGAACAATGGCCGCGTTCAGTAGAACAAAGTGATCAGAGAGCGCTTAGTGATTATTGTCTGTGAATGGAGCATTCTTTTAGATTCTTCATAGACCCAGAAGTATTTACCAATCAGGAGCGAAATTCAGTGGAAAATCTAGTAATGTTGCCCAACTGTTGAGTCTGCTGAATGCAGTCATTGGCTGCGTTCAGAAAACACAACGGTTACACAACGGTTGAATAATTCGTCAACGTTATTGGTCTGAATGTAAGGATCTAACAGTAAGGACCAATAGTTACTAAGCGCTCAGTGAGCGCTTTGTTTTCTGAACGCAACCATTTTCACTCTTTTCAAGTGAAAGTTTCATACTTTCTTTTTGCAAAAAGTTACACGGTTGCTGAAATCGTCGAGAGTTCACGTGAAACATTTTTTCTCATTTTTCACAACAAGTTACGCGATTACATTGCTCTTCTAGGAAGCAATTCACACTGGACATTGAACGCGGTATGAATCAGCCATTACTTACAAGTGTCCCTATCACAGCTGTTACTAGTCAGCAATGCTATTTGACAGCTTGGGCTTTAATCCGTGAACAGACGGTCTCTGCGCTGATTATGTTATAACTTGAGTAAACATCCGTGGTTGCTGTGCCGTATTTTCTGTCAGAATCGTGGGATGAAATTTGGCCGATAGTTTTGCGTAGATTATGCATTAATGCATCAGCCAACATTGACGGGCGCGTGTTACCTCGATTATCACCGAACACGGTTAATAATGCAGCTGACTCGAAATCAGATGACATGAGACTTGTGCGCACAGTGATGAGGAAGCGCGATATTAATCGCTGCCAGGGATACTTGCCGTTATCGAAGAGCAAAGATGTTCGTCAGAGATCCCTGTGGCATCATATGCATTATCGTAACTTACATAGCGGTGTTTTACGCTGACTACGTTGTGGTGCGATGGATCGTGTTGCACACTATGCAAGACAGGTTTGTACGATGATTGACATTGCAGCAACTTTGTTGTCTGCACGTCGACAAATTTTGCGTATCAGAGGTAGAAGAGAAAAACTGTGATGTCCACAAGGAACACCAAGTATACTTTCATTGGTACTTGAGACGCCAAAGTATAGCGTTACTTTTCAGATTCGTTTACTCTCAGGCTTGGGAATCTTTGCGTATCTTTCTTAATTTATAGTACATAAAATTGTAATGATTTTGCCATGTATATATGTTTATAATTATTATGATCAAATCCTGATTGTTGGTTTGCAATGTTATCTTCTTCCTAGTGTATGGGGCCTCTTCCACATAGTAGCATTCAATACTGTTGTGCTTTTCCTAATGATGGCACACTTGAAAGCTGTCTGTAGCGATCCTGGTATAGTACCTCTACCACAAAGCAGAATGGACTTTTCTGACATACATGTCTCTGGAGGAAGCGATCATGATGGTGATGAGAAAGATGACTGGACAGTGTGTACTAGATGTGAAACATACAGACCACCTAGAGCTCATCATTGCCGTATTTGTAAACGTTGCATCAGAAGGATGGACCATCATTGCCCATGGTAATGATAAATTATCATACAATCCTTCAAATATGAATATGCGATACAATCTTTAAAATATTTACTGGTCTCCATGATATAATCCATAATGTTAGTATCATAAGCAGTTGGCCAATTCATTTATGAATTCAATTTTAATTTGTTTTAAGTTAGTAATAAAATGTTATGTGTTAAAGGATTAATAATTGTGTCGGCGAGAGGAATCAAAAATACTTCATACAGTTTCTGGTATATGTTGGTGCATTAGCTATATATGCTATTATCTTAGTTATTTTATCATGGATCAACGACTGCCCACAATGCAATAATGACATTGCCATCAAGCAAAATCGCATGTACGTACCTGCATTCTTACAGAGATACTTTACAACAATTGAGAGGCTTATATTGCTATGTGTCTTGCAGCTTACATTGTGTGATATTAGTCTTGGAATCGGCACTATTCGGTATGTTCGTCATAGCGATATTGGTTGATCAGTTTCAAGCGATCCTAGGTGACGAAACTGCTGTGGAGCGTGTACAAGGAACCCAGCGCTACCATAATAAGCACGCATCACGAACGTTTGCGCTTTTATCTCAAGTGTGTGGGAAAAGTCATCCGATATTTTGGTTATTTCCTTGCCACAATCCGCCGCGTTATTCTTTCAGAAAAGATGCGTATTTAATCGACCATATAGTATAAAATTAGATGAAATGTATTACATCTGCACGGTATTTTAATTTTGTATTATTATAATTTTTATAATGATTTAATAGTGATTCATTCCTTGAATTTGTGTATATTAACACACATTTGTACGAATTACTGATATATAATATAGATTCAAGACTTGTAGCTATAACGTTTCTACTGCGTGAAAATGGAGTATTTATATCCTGTCTATATTAAGAGTATCATTGCTATGAAATATATATATATATATTAATATATTAAAACAATATATTTCATTATTTATTATATATGATTACAGATAAGTTCAAACTGTGAAACCAATAATAGCTTTAATTAACGTATGCCTATTTATTTTAAAGAATGTGGCAATAATATATACGTAATTATTATATTCTACATTATGTTAATATTGAAGAGATTTTTTTATTTTTTGAAGCTGAAATACATAAGTGACATTTTAATAATAAAGATTGATTCCTTAATTTAAAACGATTATTACTAACAATTCTGTTATCTTTAAGTAATAATCATTTTATTTGTTTACGAGGAATGTGTATTGTACTTAAAAAAATAAAAGATGATTTTACTAAACTAAAAATTTGTTTTAAGTATATAATTAATATTTAAACAATTTCAATTATTTTAATAACAATTTTATCACTGTATTTTATTTTTACTGTTTGGATCTATATTTGGAACTTATTACACCCAAAAATTATTACAACTTTTATTCTGTAGCTAGTCGACTTCAAAATATTTACAAATCCCTTTGGAGTATTATTTTTAGGTATAGAAGATCAATCTTGACAATATTTGCTTAGATATTTGTAAAAGTTACAAAATTGTAATTATTTGATATTATGTTTTGACTTTATTATACAAAATATCGCAATGATGCAACATTGTCAAAACAATATTATTATTATTCGAATAGAAAATCGGCTGCAGAGACTCATTAATAAAAAAATGATAATATTTGTTACATCACTGATAAATGGTGCTACTTCTTTTGTATAAAGAATTTTGTATTTATTTCAACAGTTTTCATATTATTTTCTTCCAGGAGTTAACGATATTTTATATTAAAATTGAATTCGTACATAACTAAAAACGCGGGTGATATCATCCGGAAGCTAACGATATTTTATATTAAAATTGAATCCATACGTAACTAGAAATGGGTGATATCACTTTGATTATTTTGACATCGATTATTTTTATTTTGCAAAATCGATTATCGTATGATATTTTTCATCTTAATTATTCCCTAATTATTTCCTAGACGATAATTTTTTGTTCGATGTAACTAGAATTGTTACTAATGCCGTTTCAGTTCGTTTGTGAAAAAAAACTTTTGAACTAGTGTATATTAGTTTAATAAGTTGAAATGAAAAAAAATACATTTGTGTTATTAAACATGCTTCAAATAAAATATAACGGAGTTTATTTACTGCATAACTTTATCCCTTTATTTTTAAACACTGTAAAAATAGTTTTTCTAAATGGGGTTATTTACAATATTACTAAGATTTTAGTTACTATGCTATAGCGACATCTACAATAGTACTTGGATCCATCAGTTTCCTCTCTATATTCGAGTATTGGTTGTGAATTTTCACTGACTTGAACGGATCTCTGATTTTTGTGTATTTTTCACAATTCCACATTTTATGTGAACATTCGATGAATAGCATGATGTTTACATCAGCTTACATTGTATTAATATGAGAGCATCTTATTATTAATTACTTTAATTGAATAATTAAATATACAAATAGATATCTGTTCGCATTATTTAAAATACTAAGCATTATGAGTAATAGTGTGAGAACTTCAATTTTAAAAAAGGTATCCTTACAATTATAAAATATTAGAATTATCAGTTACATTTAATTTTTGTGGAATCTATTTCTTATATTACATTCTTTAATTATTTTTTTACTTATTTTTAGCTAACGGAATCTTTACAAAATATTAATAATATAAATGTACATAATATTGCATCTTATTTGCATCTAGAAGCAAACAAAGGAAATGGAATATATTCATTTCTACTTCCTCTGAAAAGCAAATATTTTGATATACAGAATGAAATATATAAAATCATAAATAATAATCAAGATGATATTTTCAGCAACATCAATTTAAAAAGTCATGTAATTTCTTTTAATGTCTCCAGAGAAAAATGCATTAAGAATATTTTGGAACATAATTGTTCCACAATATCAGCTCCAACTTTCATAAATAGTAAAAGAAATATAATAGTAGAATTTAGTTCACCCAATATTGCAAAACCCTTTCATGTAGGACACTTGAGGTCCACAATTATAGGAAATTTTGTTGCTAATATCAGTAGTTTTGTAGACAATAATAATGTCAAGAGACTAAACTATTTGGGTGATTGGGGCACACAATATGGTTTAGTTCAACTGGGGGTCAATATGGCAAATATTGATGAAGATGAGATGAAGAAAAGCCCTATAAAAGCATTGTACATAGCATATGTTACTGCCAATAAATTGGCTGAAACAGATCCTTCTGTGTTGGAACGTGCGAGGGAAATATTTAATGACTTGGAAACTGGAGCAGGGGTTACGGGTGAACAATGGAAAGTATTTAAACAATATACCGTCGAAGAATTAAAGCAGATTTATGGTAGAATTGGTGTCACATTTGACGAATATCACTGGGAGTCAATGTACAGTGCTAAAAGTATGGATAAGATAATTAAATTAATGGAAAAGATGCAATTGTTAACAACAGATGAACAAAACAGAAAAATCATAAATCTGGGCAATGGAAAAAATATCCCTGTCATAAAGAGCGATGGATCTACCTTATACATAACTAGAGATATCGCAGCAGCTATAGACAGATTTGAGAGGAATAACTTTGACTGTATGTATTATGTGGTGGATAACACGCAAGCTGGACATTTCTCAAATTTGCTAGAAATACTGAAACAAATGGAAATACCATGGGTAGAAAGATTAAAGCACATAAGGTTCGGCCGAATACACGGTATGCGTACAAGAAAGGGAAATGTAATGTTTCTAGAAGATATCTTGAATACTGCCAGAGACACTATGAAGCAGAGACAACTGGACTCACCCAGTACGTTAATATTAATATTTTGGATTACAATAGCTATATACAGGGTGTCTTAAAAATACCGGAACCCCCGGATAACTTTGCAGGATCAAGTTTTCATGAAAAACTTTAAGTACAAAAGTTGTAGAAAATCGAGTAACGGACTTGATGATGACTTTGAATTTGACCTTGGCCATAACCTTCAAGGTCATTTGGAGGTCAACTTGCGTTTTTTAAATGGGAACCTTTACTTTTTATTACATTGTTTTTTTCTACCAATTAATTTGTACAACTTTTGTCTAAGACATTTTGATTTGCCTAATATTTTTTGAAATATTTGAGGAAAACTTGATAACTTTTTTAATATTTAACTTACGATATCTCGCTAACTATTTGTCGGAAGAAAAAGTGGTACTAGACTTTCTTGCTTTATTTAGTCTCAAGAATATATTGTTACTATAGTGCCCTGATTTTTGTTAATTTGATGATTTTGAAATTTCCAAAAATCAGTAAGCTGCTGCCAAATGACCTCGAAGGTTATGGCCAAGGTCAAATTCAAGGTCACCATCAAGTCCGTTACTTGATTTTCTATAACTTTTGTACTTAAAGTTTTTCATGAAAACTTGATTCTGCAAAGTTATCCGGGGGTTTCGGTATTTTTAAGACACCCTGTATGTAGATGTAGTTGTATTAACAAGACTTGCTTTTAGCCACCAAGGTTCCCATGAATTTGACGGATAATAGCTCGGATATATTGGGCATTTCTGCAATGATGATTAATGATTTGAAGAAAGATCGGCAACGAGATTACACGTTCGATTGGGACGCAGCATTTGACGTAAGCTAGCCGCGGATTATCGCGAAACAATTTTACGTGCGATTTATTAATCTCTTAATTCGTTTCTTTCGTGTAAGGTCAGTTGAAAGGAAACACCGGTGTAAAATTGCAATATACACACTGCCGTCTGGTCAACTTGGAGCGCAACTGCGGCGCAATCTTAACTTCCGAGTGCGAGCCAAGCCTTTTACAAGAAGAAGTCGTCGACGATCTAATCTTGCTAATTGCCAAGTTCGATGAAGTAATATTGAAATCATACAAAGAGATGGAACCATGCGTGTTGACAGCATATCTCTTTAAACTGAGGTACGTGTAAGTTCCACCAAGTTCTCCATGTTTGACCACAGCTAAAGCTTTGTCTTCTTTTATACAGCAACACAGTTAATAGGGCTTTCAAAACGTTGAGAGTGAAAGACGAACCGACGGATGTTGCTAGCCAGAGATTGCTGCTGTTTCATGTTGCTAAAAATGTCCTCGCGCAAGGCATGAGATTACTCGGCCTAACGCCTTTGGAAAAAATGTAATGAAACGAAGAAACAAAGAAGATGAAATGTAGTGCGTAGCGTTTTTAATCCCAACGCCGTCTGTACAAAATGTTATAAGATCTGGCGTGAGCGACTGCTATGTGTCATAAAAAGAAGAAGAAAAGAGACGATTTTTCAGATTGTACAATGATACTTTTCAATAATATCGTTTCGTACGAATTTATTGTATGTAATGTGAGAAGTACATAATGTTAGGATAGATGGATCAACGTTTGTTCCAGGTGAACTTCCTTCTGGCGCCTTCTTGACCAAACTTTTTCCTCTCGCGTCTTCTCCAGTCCCTCGTTAGAAGTCCAGCTGTAATTCAAGATGATAGTTATTACATTTTTTATTATCCACGTGTGCGTGTATCTCCCTCGAACATACGTCGAAATACACTCGCAGATTTCTTTATCGGGAATCGATAGTTCCTTACCAACACGCATCCTTTCGACCATCGATTTATCAACAAAGCTACGTAAGCCCCACGAAATACCCCAACGTATAGCACCCGATTGACCAGTAGGTCCTCCATTGGCAATCGTAACTTCAACATCAATTTTATCCATCATGTTCGTGAATAATAATGGGAATACAATCTGAAACAGATGCAATAGAAAAAGGAAATCGTGTGAGACAACCTTACAGACTCATCGTGACGTCCGAGCAACGGTTAAAGGTCAAAGTTAATTAAACTGAAGAAACATACGTTACAACTCAGGTCTGTAGGAACGCGATAGTAAATTGGAAAAATCACAACAATTTTTGTACGCAATATCAATGGAAAAAAAAAAAATCATCTCATCTGCTACAAGTTATACAAGACTACATTTAATTGATTGCCAAACTGGAGAAGTCAACTTGTACACATAGTATCGATGGAAGAAAAATATTTTCTTCTAAAAATTACACAAGACCACTTTTTATTACTTAGAATAAGAGATTAAATTAAATTGTCAAGAACGTTCGTTAATAGGGATAAACAGGTGATCTCGTAGGTAATAGCGAAAAACTCGGTGATTGACTGAATTTCATGAATTATACACAATGTAAAGTTCCCATTGAACTACCGGATCGCTCTGACGGCAAATCGTCTAGTTTATGACGAGGTACGGCCTCTTGCTAATGTCGTTATAAGAGTCTTCAGCATTTTGTTCATTTCCATTAATTCCACTTTTAACAATTTCACAGCGTCCTCGTTCATTTTCACCGTGGTGACCAGTCTCTCGATCGCCATGTGCACAGCAGCGTCAGAGAGCTCCTCGTTCTGCCGCTTCACCCAAGCGACGTGATCGCTCAGGCTGACGTCGTCGTTCATGAAGGGGATGTTCTTCTGCGCTATTTCGTAAGCGGCCTTCAATATATCTTTGGGCAATCGTTTCTCCAGAGGATTCAGCGGCTTCACCACGAGCACTCGTTTTCGATTCTCGACGTCGATCTTGTGGTCCGACATCCATTTGCGGAAAGCGTACGGGATCTTCGCGTTGTGCAGTATCATTTCCGTGAAGAGTATCAGTTTCGTCTGTCTCACCAGCTTCGTGAGCCCAGCGTGGTTCCTCAGACCCTGTATATCGTGCACGGCAATGCCGACCAACAGGTTCATCAAGATCACGGTGACAAACACTATGAATAGCGTGAAAAGAATCTGCGAGCACACCGACAGAGGATGATAAATAACAAAGGAGCCAGTCGCCGGCTCGTCCGACTGATTAATGAGCCCCTCAAAGTCCAGCTCACCGGCCATCATCGCCAGGACTTTGATCAGACCGGTGAAGGGATTGCCGAATGCGGGTTCACCCGAGAATATGACGCAGAAGCTGATGGTGAAGCCGATCAGCAGTCCTGAATAGGCCAACAGAAGCTTGGCGAATTCGAATTGGATGTGAGTGAACATGGCGACGTAGGTGCCGAAGGCGGGCAGTTGGCCCACCATCAGCATCAGGTTGGTCCACGCGCAGAGTATAGCGAACGCACCCACGTAGTTCTGCCAGTCGTAAGTGCGGCCGGTATAAATGAAGGACGTGACGAATATGCTGACTATCACCACACCGTCCAACACGTTGTCGATGTTGGAGAAGTACTGGATCGCCGACTTGTGGACCATGAAGCCGATCACCTTCCGCGGTATCGTGATGCACGTTAACGCCAGCGCAAGATACCATTCGATCTCGATGACCGGTCGCCTGAAGAGGAAGGAGATCTTCTTGCCGCTGCATATCTTCGAGTTGTTGGTCTCGTGATTGTAACACTTGTAGGCGAGCGCGGTTAACACATAGGTGGTCATGCAGATCACCGTCATCGCGTACAGGAATATTCTCAGCAGGTAGACCTTGCGGATCTTCTCCCACTTGAGGTGCAAGAAAGCCATAACCAGCGGATGCGACAGCAGGTCCTTCCGGTGCTCCTGCACGAAGGTGTTGATGAAGCTGGTCTCGCACTGGTTGTTGCTGGGGAAGAGGATGTCGAAGTGCAGCTTCATCTCGAACTCCCGGTTGTGCGATACCGGCCGGGTCAGCCTGATGGAGGCGTCCAGTCGTTGGCGGAACACGTGCAAGGACTCCGGGATCTTCTTCAGTATGACGTTCAACGCGGACAGCCCGGTGCACGTGGTCGCGCTGATGTCGGCGCCGGCCCAGATGAGCGCGTCGACGCAGCGCGATTGCTCGTTCAAGGCGGCGATGTGCAGCGGTGTGAAGCCGGTCTTGTCGGCGGCGTTCACCAGAGCGCCGCGCTTAAGCAGCAGCTGCACCAGCTCGACGGACGAGTCAGTGCTCATGACGGCGAAGTGCAGGGGCGTCCGGTACTCCCGATCCACGGCGTTGATGATATTGGCAACCGCAGCGCCGGCCGACAGCAGCTCGACGCAGGCCATTGACTGGACGGAACAGGCCACGTGCAGCGGCGTCTGGCCCAGGTGGTTCTTCTCGACCACGCTGGCGCCGCGCTCGAGCAGCACCGTCACCGTCTCCACGGCCTTCGCCCTCACGGCGCTGTGCAGGATGGGCTCGACCATTTCTTGTTGACCGGAGTAATTCAGCCTGGCGCCGTAGTCCAGCAAGGTGGCCGCGGCGTGCCAGCTGTTGCCAAGGGCTACCACGTGGAGTATCGTGTAGTGGTTGATCAGGTTCTCATAGTTCACGTCGGCGCCCTTCTTGATGAGGTACTCCACGCAAGCCACCTTGTCGCCTAACGAGGCCGCCAGCAGAGCGTTCACGCCGGAACGCGACTCCACGTAGTCGTGCCGCGCGCCAGCTTGCTCCAGCTGCGGCAGGAGCTGCAGCAGGCCGCGGTAAGCAGCCCAGATGTAGGCGACGTTCCGCAGTCTCTCGCTCTTGCACGCGCTCGGCAGCACGTCGCACTTCTCCATATGCAGCAGCAGCCTCGTCTCCGCCGGGCTGACGATAGACCATATGGCCGAGCGCAGTCTGGCGCCGTTCACGTAGGGATGCCTGCACTCCCCGTTGTCGAAGAAGAGAGACTCGTCGGCCGGCGGCGGCTCGCCGGCGTCGATCTCCAGCTGACCGGCGTTCGCCTCCGCCGCGGCTCCGTCGCCGCTCGCGACCCTCCGCGGGTTGTCTCCCCTGTCGTATATGTACCTCAAGGACCTGTAAGTGGAGGCCAGTCTCACAGCGAGAGGCTCGTCCTTGAGACGGCTGTTCAAACTTCCGCTGCAGTATGTGTGTTGGTCTCTCTCGCTGACTATCGGCACTTTCAACAGGTCCAGCTCGAGGTCCACCTTCGCGTTGGCGTTCCGCAAGTTTCGCTCGTCCATGCTTGCTGGTGCAATTTTTACCTCGACTTACCCGGTGACTCTTCCCGAATCATAAGTCTGTTCTTTTCAGGTGAGCCAGGTCGGGCCGTGCGCCGTTAGACTGAAGCAAGAATGTGAACTAACGTCGAGAGGAAAAGGCACATCGCTGCAGCGTCGGTTCCGCCGAAGGGACCAGCAAGCTTCATCTGCGAAGATGATTCTGACGTCGGCAAGATCGTCCCTTCTGCGCGTTAATTTCTCCGCAGGTGCGTCCGCGCGGAGCAATTCCCGACCCGGGCTTATCTCGCCATCCGCGACGAGGCAATCTCGCCCAGCACTCCTCTGTCGCCACAGCGGAGTTATTATCGTGTGGGTGTGCGTTATTGTTCAATATTAGCGTGAGCGATTCGATAATGGAGCGTTAAGTATTATCGCACCGTCGTACGCGATGACTCGCACCGAGGAACATCCCAGTTGCCGCGTCTTCGCCGAGTCACCTCCGCCTCTCCTCGTCGCTCGCTCCCTCGGCTGTCACGTCACGTCCCCGAGTCGTTTAGGTCATTTTAAGAGAGGTCAGCTCTTATCGCGTTGCATCACGGTCTCGACCACGACCGAGTGACTTATATCCGAGCACCTTGTTGCACTGATTCGATCATGATTTGCCGCTTGCCGATTCTCTCTCTCTCTCTCTCTCTCTCTCTCTCTCCCTCTCTCTCTCTCTCTCTCTCTCTCTCTCTCTCTCTCTCTCTCTCTCTCTCTCTCTCTCTCTCTCTCTCTCTCTCTCTCTCTCTAACGGGATACGCACGCTCGGCACGCGCGAGATACGGCTAATAAGGCTGAAAGCGGACCAGGAGAGCTACTTTCTCGAAGTACCACTTGTCGTAATAACGGCATTAGGCACGTATGTTTACAAATGCTAGGACCACCTGCTCAGGCTGACTCAGGCCGACTCGGGCGATAAGACGAGCGCGAGTCTACGAGGAAGATTTCGAACGCTCGCGGGAATGCAGCCGCGCCGCCGGAGACCGTAATTGTTTCGCAGCTAACGCGACACGTGACGATTGCAATCGGACAAGGAATGCGAGGCAGGTAGTTGTACCCGCGACTGGCTCGGCCAGACACTCGCTGGTACGTCGAAACGCTGGATGATGAGTCGGCGACGTAACGTATTGTCCCGTGTTTTCTTCTTCTCACCAACACACCGACGCACTGTCTTCTCTCATCCTCGCCGCCGAGAGCGTTTGTCTTCGTCGCTTGTGTCCTTCCGTTTCGTATTATCGTATCTCGAGGCGATGATTAATGCGCGCAGAGACTGTTTGCAGTCGAGCTCTCGAAGGTGTCCGAAAGGAAAACCGATTTCGCTCATCCAGTCGCCGCGTGGAGACGATCAGCTCGTCTATCATCACTCGGCGCTCCTGCGCGAGCATTACCCACCGCGGAGGACCTATCCGGTTCGTACGATCGCGCTACAGGTACTGCATGACGCGCCCGGTGGATCGTGCGGGAAGAGGAGTTCGCGCGCGAATTCCGAGTCTGGGGGGAAGAGAGCGCAATAAATAATATATATAAACATAAAGAGATATATAGGTCGTAGAGGCGGAGGTCTGCTCCGCGCATACTAAGTCGCGAACTGCCCTTCCGCTCAGCTTCAGATTAAACCGCTCGACAGCTGAACGCCGCTCTCGCGCGATCTTTATCGCCGAGATTGTTGCTGTTGGCGTTGTTATTATTATATCAGTTATCGGTGAGAAGCCGCTATACGTCGCAGATATCTGTCGTTATCAATCGGGTACATCGATAAGGTCACACTCTCCTCGTCAAAAATTTCTGTAAAGAAATCCCCCCTCCTCCTCTCTCATCACATGTGCTGCGAATGTTTATTTGGTTCTTATTAAGTTATTCGCTGCAAACAATAGCTTCTCTGCTTTTCATTTAATGTTCAATAATAACGAAACGCTTGTGATTGCATTTTGTTTGACTTTTTTATTCTTAAAATGAAAAAAGAAATATGTACCGGGATGAAACTTCACGCATGACAGCGTTAACGCTTTTCGTTAACGATTTTCTTTGATGATAGCCTTCAAGGGTTAAGGAAGATCGTGTCCAGAAAGAATGGAGATGGTGAAGAAATTAATCGGGTTGTCGATATTGATAATCAACGTACCCAAAAAAAGTATTCTATTTGTAAAGTGATTTTTCCCATAATCTCACCTCTAAGCGAAGCCTTTTACAGAAAAAGGATTCCTCTTTCGATGGAGCGGTTAAAGTGAACCTAACCATTCGTCTAAAATTTATTAGATATTCTGTTTTCCTCTTATTTCAAAATTTCCACTTTTATACTCTTAAAATTAATTTCCTCTTGTATGAAGAGGAATATAATTGATTTGAATGTCGGCTTTTTTCGTTCAGTCATGCTCTATCTCTAGACATGAACAATAGAATAACTCATAAGCATAGAATGCTCATAGGTCAGAATATTTGGGACGCTTTTTGAAGAAAGGTATGTATGTTGCTGTAACATAACGAAGATAATTTACCCATATTTGATCAAATACAGTTTATAATCTATTGTAAGAAGGTGAATAATATATTCTCTCTTTTAACTATGTTTCGTACAATTGGTTATGATGAACATCTTTGTAGCTGTGAAGTTTATAACACCTAACTGGAAATTTATTTGTTATGATGATCTTATTTCATTCCTGCCTACTTATTGCAGAATTGGAACCAGTATATTTGTGTATATATATATATGTATAATGAAAAGTAATATATATATATATATATTACTTTCATTATACATTATACTAATTTTTTCAAATCAACTAGTATAACCAGTAAGAATAAAGTAAAATAAATAATAATCCTCTTAATTATTTTTGAAATTACTTTTTTTGGGGTGATAGTACTAGTATATAGTCTAGTATTGCAATATATATTATCTAGTATAGTATATCATCTAGTATATAATATATATTACAAATTATTTTTCGTCATACATTATAATAATTTTTTTCAAATTAACTAGTATAACCAGTAAGAATAAAGTACGAACAGTAAGAATAAATAATAATCCTCTCAAAAAAGGATTAAATAATCTGTGTATAAGAGGAAATTTATATTAAAATCAATCAGATTTGCATTATACGTGTAACATATAATTTCTCTAACTTGAAAAATAATGCGTTTATAATATTTTCCTCTTAATTTTAGAGGAATCGTCTTGAGGTCATATATAAGAGTAAAATCTTCTAAAATTTAGATGACTACGCTTGTTCTGAAATTACTTTTTTTTGAGTGACTAAATAGCTGATGCTCGTGATAGTATGTGAGATTTAATATTTCAAACGCGCTAATCTCCCCCAAACTGTACGAAAATCCACACGCAAGGCCTCAATGGACCGATTGATCTTTCTCGACTATTGGACCGCTTTTATTTCGCTTCTTCGTTGTGCCTTCCGTTTTTCTCCTTGTCCAGCTTATTCGCTCCTCGTCGGACACTTTTCAAGCGTTTTCTCCCGTTTTCGCGCCGTAATTGAATTCCTCATAGACCTTCCGAATTCAAATGCACCTAGCGAGGCGCCTTTCACTGTAGACCGCGTGATCGCGAGTGCGACATCACGACTCCTTTGCATAATCCGCGATTCTGTATTCATTTTAGATACACGCTGTATCGCGCGAGTCATCTGAACGTACGGTATATGCGAACCATTGTACATGAAATATGAGTGTATTAATAAGTCTGATATAAAAACAGCCGCGGCATTGAAATCGGAGGCGCGAAAAAACTTGTCTCGCGATCGGCGCGAGTTAACGCCGTAGAAATCTCTCGAGTGAGTGAGCGAGCGAGATATCTTCTCGTGCAATTTTTCATCTTCCAGTCGTCCAACTTGAAGGTCTGGGAGACGCAAAATTGTCCGAGAGGTAAGACGCGCGGCCGCATCCGCGCCTCGAATCGTAACCCATTAAATTCTCTTGCGAGAGATGGATTCGTGATTCGACGTCCTCGTTTGCGGACGTCGTTGCCGGGTTTACAAGCAGGTCCTATCTTGAAAGTCCGAGTTTTTTTTTTTTGCGAGGAGAATTTATGCAGATCGAAACCGGTTTCGGCCGTCGATCTACGCGTATACCGTTAATGTTATTTGTATTCTTTGAAATCCTCCTCCAAGTGAAACTCGACTAGTGAGGCAACCCTGAGACGTTTCTGCCAAAATCACTCGTAGTTTGCCCGCGCAGTTCACGTCTCGCGTCTCGTCTCGATAGAAAATTCACGGCGCTTCTCACGTTTTTCGCAAGCGCAACTTCTCACCGCGACCTTCCGACGCTTGGTTGACTTGAAGCAACTTTGTGAGCAAGTTGAGAGAGATAGATAGTTTATTCACACCCTGGGGAAACAACCCCTTAGGTAAAAAGAGAGAGAGAGAGGGGGGGGGAGAGAGAGAGAGAGAGAGAGAGAGAGAGAGAGAGAGAGAGAGAGAGAGAGAGAGAGAGAGAGAGAGAGGGGATATTCACTGATCGCGGCAGATACGTTAGAAATTACTATTGTTGAAGAATTATATAGGGTGTTCGGGATTTTTAGGAAACGGAAAATTATGAAAATTAATCAGATCAAACTGAGAGTCGAAGACCATTTTGTAAAAATCACAATAGTTATTAAATTATTAATGAAAATGACTACATCTGCGTGTCTAGCGGTAGATATGAGTACATTGAACTTTGAACTCTAAACCTTGAACTTGTTGCACAATGGCCGTCATATAATTGTAGGATAGGTCATTCTGAACAAAAAAGTCCTTCACCATTTTGCAAATAAGCATGCAAATTTTCAAATTATCAATCAAAAAATCCTCTGTGATCATTTTCAATCATTAACAACTTAATAGCTATTGCGATTTTTGCAAAATGACTTTTACACTTGACTTTTCCTCTCAGTTTGATCCGATTAATCTTCATAATTTTTTGTTTCCAAAAGATTCCGGACACCCTGTATATAAACGAGTAACAAGATAAGAGATAATAGATAAACCAACGTGAATTATAGATGTAAATGATACGCAGACGTCCGGCGTAGGATATTTCTTGGCTGCCTCGTTTATTTCTTCATCTTCTCGAAATGCGTTCCTCATTTGATGCACTCCTTTATGTAGGCGTAAATAATATAATTTATATAATATAAAAAGAGAAGAAAATATAACAGATCCCGCTCGCTGAGAGACTTGCAATTAAGAACAGTGCCGCATGTATAAGCACGTTTCCTCAAGTCCGCATTCCGGCATTCTCAATTTTCAGAGTCTCCGATCGTTGCTGAGCAATCGAATCCTCGAGACTTCGAATTGCTGTGCATTCGTCTCGACGAGTTCCATCCGTTGATCCTCTGCTACTTGTGCGTCTTCGCGAGCTCCCGAAGGAGGGCCTGATTCCTCTCGCAAATCTTCCTGAGCTCGGCGATGTCGTCCTTGAGCCTGTTGCAATCCTGCGTCAGTGTGTCCTCGTCGAAGCCACGCCGGCGGCAGCCGCTGGAGATGTCGCCTTTCATACACGCTTTCGCGTAATAGCCCGCGCCGTAGGTCTTCTTGCGCGACACGGCAAAGTTACTATGACCGTCCCCTTCCTTGGCTACTTTGTAGGCAGCCGAGAGGACGTCGCGCGGCAACCTCGTCTCCCTGGGATTCAGCGGCCGGACGGTAAGAACGGCACGCATCGGCGAAGGCAAGATCAACGCAGACCACCGAAGACACTTGATCAGGCGCTTCGGCAGCAGCGCGAAGAAGAGCGCGACCTCCACGTCGTAGATCAGCTTGGTCTGGCGGACGAGCTTCGCGAGCCCCGCCGTCTTCTGCAGGCCCTTGATGTCGTGCACGGCTATGCCGATCAGCAGGTTCATCAGCACGATCGTCACGAAGAGCAGGAACAGCACGAAGGACAGTTGCGCCGAGATCTGCAGCAAGACCCAGGAGGTGCCCTCCACGTCCGACATGGCGGTCTGAGCGATCGACTCGTTAGACGGGAAGAAGAGGTCCTCGAAGCCCAGCTCGCCGGTCATCATCGCGAGGACCTTGATGAGAGCCGTGTGCGGGCTGCCGAAGGATTTGGAGTGCGGGAAGATGACGCAGAAGCTCGCCGTGAAGCCCACCAGGAGGCAGGCGTATGCCAACAGCAGCTTGAACACCTGAGCCTGCACGCTGGTGAACATCGCGACGTAGGCGCCGAACATCGGCAGCTGGCCAATCATCAGCATCAAGTTGCTCCAGCCGCAGAGGACGGCGAAAGCGCCGAGGTAGCTCTGCCAGGCGTAAGTTTTGCCGGTGTACACGAAGGACGTCGCGAACACGCTCAAGATCACGCACCAGTCCACCAGGTTCTCCGGCTGCGTGAAGAAGTGCCTGACCGACAGGTAGCTGGGCATCACAGTGAACTTGCGGAAGGCCTCCAGTAGGGTGAGCATGACCAACGTGTACCACTGGATCCCCAGCAAGGCCGGGTGCCTGTAGAGGAAGCCGTAGAGCCCGGTGGCTTTGGCGCAGAGCGGCGGGTCGCGCGCGTGGCCGTGCGACTCGTTGTAGCAATTGTAAGCCAAGCCGGTCATCACCCAGCTCGTGAGGATCAGCACGTACAGCAGGTAGAAGAGCAGCCTGGCGGCGTAATACTTCCTGATCTTCTGCCACTTGAGATGGAGGAACGACTGGCACAGCGGGTGTTCCAGGATCTCCTTGTAGCCTTCCTTCACGAAAGCGTCGAGATAGCCGATCTCACCGTGGCGTCGGTGCTGCAGCAACGGCCGGAAGTCCAGCCGCAGCTCCAGCTCGCCCGCGACGACCCCTTGGCGATGTAGGTTCACGGCAGCGTCCAGTCGCCGCTCGAACACGTCCAAGCAGGTGGGTGTCTTGCGTAGGACGATGGACAAAGCGCTGGTGCCGCCGTTGGTCCTGGCGCTGAGGTCAGCCTCGTGCCTGATGAGCAGGTTCACGCATCGCGACAGCTCGTTCGAGGCCGCGATGTGCAGGGGCGTGTAGCCGTACTTGTCGGCCTTGTTGACGTTCGCCCTCCAAGCCACCAGCAGCTCGGTCACGTCGTCGGTCATGAGTGATCGGCTCAAGGCTAAGTGCAAGGGCGACCGACCCTCGTCGTCCTCCGCGTTCGGATCAGCACCGCCCTTCAGCAACGCCTCCACGCATTCCAGGCTGTGCGAACGCGCCGCTAGATGCAAGGCTGTGTGTCCCCGGTGGTTCTGCAGTTGGAGGCTCGCCTTCGCCTCGACGAGGAGCGCGACGTTGTCCACGCAGCCGGCTTCAGCCGCCAAGTGCAAGGCGGTGTCGTTCTTCTGGGTGGGCAGGTCCACCGGGCAGCCCGCCTTCAGCAGCGCATGCAGGCAATCTGAGCTTCCGCCATCGGCCGTGTGGTGAATAGCGGCGAAGCCGTCCGGGTCCAGCCGCTCGAGGTCCTTACTGCCCGGCGCCAACAGCGAGAGCACGCGCAAGGCGTTCGTGCGCGCCGCCACGTGCAGCACCGTCTCCTCGTCTTCCGGGCTCTCCTGAGCGGCGACGCCTCGCTGCAGCAAGTGCTGAGCGACCTCGTAGGAGTCGCCGAAGGCGGCGTAATGGAACGGTGTGTGTTTGAAGCCGGAGGTGACGCTCGCGCCGCGAGCCATCAGCAGCTTCACGCCGTCCAGGCAGTTGCGGAAGGCGCAAAAGTGCAGCGCCGTGAGACCCTGGTCGGGCTCGGCGTAGTCGACGTTGTCGGCGAGCTCGCTCAGCCGGCGGATCAGGTCGACGCGGCCGGCGAAGCTCGCCTGCAGCAACAGCACGTTGATCTCCTGGGGCTTGCAGGCCGCGAGGAACGCCTCCGTGCTCGCCTCATCTTCTGCCCTGCTCAGTTGCTCTAGCTCCTCACAGAGCTGCGACCTGCAGGCTGCCCGGCGCGCGTGCTCCGTCAAGAGGTTCCTGATGAAGTCCTCATTGATGCGCAGGGACGAGCGGTCGATCTCCGTGGAGTAGCCGAACTCGCTGATGCATATCGAGTAGTCCTCCCCAGCGTGAGGCACGCTGTCAGCAGGCACGCATTCGAAACCCTCGTCATCCTCGATTTCGCTGTCAGCTTGCTTGGGCAGCTTGGTGGAGCTGATCCAGCGGGCTAGCAGCAACGAGGTCGCAGCGTGGCGCAGTGACGAAGTCGGCGCGAGCCTCGACGTCCGTTCGCCGGCCTCTTCCATTTATATCGCCGACGAGGCGGCAGAGCGCGGCCTCAAAACACGCACGATGCTCGTACCATCTCCGCCTGTTGCCGTGTTAGGTCTTAATTACCTATAAATGCGACACGTCAATCTCACGTCATCGTATGCGAAGTTCGTTCGATGCACGAGTATTGGCGAGCGAAGCTCTCGCGGGCCGGGCCAACCGAGTTCGCGTGTAGTTGTGTGCGGGTATCATTTTCTTTTTTTTCTTTCTTTCAGCAGCACAAAATATAAATTGCGGTGCCGAAAGTAGTCGAAGAAGAACACGGCGAATCTTTCGTGCCGAATTGGAAGGAAGGCTTAGTCACGTGTTTATCTGTCGAAGCTGTGAGACCAAAATGTTAGTGCGAAATTGATAAGCAGAAATTAGCTTTTTTCAACCTTTTGCACTCGGAGACATCTCGCAGGGAACCTACCAACAGCTCGGCGGCACCTTTTTAGGAAAATATGCAAACAGGAATCGCATCGTATTAAATAGTGTAGTTTTGAAACCAAGTGTCATTTATTGTAATGATATTTGGTGATATTTTATATGAATCTTTAAATATTGAGACATATTTATGATAAAAAATCAAAGTTTTATATCTTATATTTTTCTAAAGTGTGGCAACGTGTGGCAAACAGTCACCGATATGCACTGCAGGTTCGCTTTGCCATAATTCTGCAAACCAAATAAATGAGTCAGAAATTTCCAACTGTAAATTGCGAAATCACAAAATGAAATTTATTAAAAGAATGTTACTTTTTTCCAGTTTTATTTTTCTGACTTAGTGCAGGTAATGATCTGTGCCGCTCGATACTTCAATACGATCTGCTTTCAGCTTTGAAAATCTCTTTTAGGCTACAACAGGCTTGCTTGTTTATCTTCTCAAGTGGCATATTATGCGGTATATCACCAAGAAAACATGTATTTTTGAAAAATTGCGCTCGCATAAGTTTATCCTGTATAATCACTAGAGATGTGCGAACTATTCGAATTTGAATTGAATTGAATCGAATCTAATGTAATTCGATTCGAATCCGAATAATTCGAAACTTTCGAATCGCGAAGATTCGAATACGAATCAAATATATTAGCGTTTACGTACACATTAGCTACAAAACAGGCTATCTGGGCCTGTATGTTTGAATCCGTAACTTGTAATTAACTTAACTTATAATTAATAATTATAAATTAATTATAAATTACTTTAAATATTTTAATATATATTATTTTAAATATTTTACTTTAAGATAATATTACAATATCAATATTCCCTTTCATATTAAAATCTTCCATCATTATTTGCATGTTTAGTCCATCATTATTTGCATTATTATAGTCATGTTAAATTTTTTAATGATTCGATTCGAATTCGAATCAAATTTTATAGATTCGATTCAACTCGACATAAAAATTCTTGATTCGCACATTTCTAATGATCACTAATAAAGCCTTTATGTCTTCTGAAAGGGGATTTCCGAGTATTTTGCTAGACTTACAATGTCCCCTCAGAGGAGACCTCCGAGTACGAAGGATTAATATTTTCAATCTCTTTCGCTTGTTTGTGACTCATTACTTTTTTTCAACCGCTCCTTCACGACTTTAGCGAGTTGGATGAAACGCAACGTTCTAGGACATGCACTTCTGCTTCGAAACGAAGACTATGGACCCGAACTTTGGCAACGTACACTTCAGAAACACTGTAGCATCCGTCAGAAGATACGAGACCGTGCCTCGTGCCAAGTGCGCGCGCGAGTGACAAGGCTGGTCACAACGTCGAAATCCAACGCAAAACGCAATGCGCGCGAGACTCGATTGGAAAATCGGTCAAATAACTGAGAGGAATAGCGGAGCGCTCTCTCGTCGAATCGAGGGTATTTACATCTCTCTTTTTCTCTCTCTCTCTCTCTCTCTCTCTCTCGAGAGAGAGAGAGAGAGAGAGAGAGAGAGAGAGAGACAGAGAGAGCCGGATAAAAACGCTCTCTCGTTATCGGTGTAATGCAATCGAAATCAATGCCGTGCCGATAACAGTTGATACGATACACTAATAACATCAGCAAATCTCAGCTTATTGTGAAGATAAAAGGAGAAGCGGGAGGAGCGAACGGCTCTAACGAGAAACGATATTTTTCGCACTAACGTTTCAGTTACAACGATAATCTTGCGCGAGAAACTATCTAAAAATCGAATACACGAATACAGATTATGTACGAGGTACCCTTCTTAAATATCCTTCGAAGGTAAACACGTGCCTTTTGTGTCAGACCTGTCAGTCGAGTGAAGCGGCCGGCTCTGTAATGGATGAATCAATTTTATACGGTGACGGTTCCTCGAAATTTCGGCTCTAATTTAACTGTTCGATCATCATCACGTGTGCTAGACGGAGATGGCACTACAAGGACTGCGCGCTGCAGTGAGACGGCGCGAGACGAAGCTCGGTAGGCGTTGATGATCCTCTCGATCGCACCTTGTTCTCTCGCCCGACCGGTACACACTGAGAGCGAGGAAACGGACGGCATGCAATCGTTGGTTCCATCGTACCGGTTTTAAGCAGCGAGGAGAGCTTGGGCGCTATTTGCATCCGATGCCTCTAAGCCAGATGACGAAGACGCGCGAAGCGGAAAGATAGTTTCCCTCGAAGGACAATGAACATGTTCTTGTGTTCGCGTTCTTCGCATGATGCGCATCATCGGAATGTCGAATAAATCTCCCCCTCTCTCTCTCTCTCTCTCTCTCTCTTGATAGCCTGACATACGTCTCGTTCACAACGTGTTTTCCGAAATGCCAGTGGTGTCCAATATTTCAAACCTGTCTCGGTTTATTTGTTTCTCTTTTTGTTTCCCACCTGCGATCGTGTAAACAGGATGTCTCCAGTTGTCTCCACAGGACAAACTTGATGCTCATTGTGAGGAAATCGTTGATCCCAAGTAGAGTTCGATGATGTGTTCGTTAAACTATTCAACTAGCTTGAGTGCTAAGAGCGGTGTAGTTCGCATTTATGTCTAAAGATATTTTCAATTAATTTTCCATTCCCTTATTGGCAATTTTAATAGCATTGCAATCAAGTTCGATTTTTTAATGTAAGTTTTCGTACTTTTGATTACAATAATCATGTTTTTTACTTCCAAGAAAGGAATTGAGGGAGTCAATGAAGTAACTCGTGATTATTTTTGTCATACGAGCCATTAATAAAATGAAGTTGATAAACGTGATAACATAGATATTCCGGTAAAGATGAACTGAAAATTGAATTTCACTTAGAATTTTTTTGCACTTAAATACATTACGTGAAATGTATCGGATTATTGTTCTTATTATATCGAACACGCTATAGGATCATCTTATACATCAATAGATGTATGTGTAGGAAGTTGGAATGTTTCCACACAGAAGTGTTGGAATTGGATTGTGAAACTGTGCCTTTCACCATGCAACGTATAAACACGTCAAATAAAAAAAAATAGTACATTCTTTCTCCAGTTACTCACTTTAACTTTAGCTTCTCCCGGAAGTGTTACTACCAAGACGCCTCAGGTATTATGGCGTCATTGTTTATTGTATCACGAATCACAGATATGACGTGACGCTATTCTTTTTGTTGCAGAAATTAATAGGAATTACTTTCGATCAAATTACATTACATGTTAAAAAATATTTCAGAAGGCCAACATTGAAACTCGAAACACTTTTCAACAGAAATGCTGATTTCAATGTGCAAAAATTTTATGTAGAATTTACACGCAGCTAAAGAATTGCACTTTGTGAAGCAACTGAAACTTCAGTTTCTTTCAATATCGTCGTATAAAATCTTAATTTACCTAATAACATATAGACTTTTCACATTACAAAGTTGAGGAATTTCGTAAATGTTTAGAAACAAGTTAAATTTATTTATTATTCTTGGGAAACATAAACTACAAATAAATAAGAAGAGTGATAAGAAAGAAAATAATATCAAGATATGGTACTTACCTGCTCGCGATAATGCATCTCTTTGAAATATGTGATATCTTGTCCATTGATGATCATTTTTCCAGAGCCATTACCCCAAAGTGTTACTTCACCTCTTGAAGATTTTCTCATGCAGTCTAAAATTAGAAATAATGTAAATTTGCTAACATATATGACGATATGTTTTAGTTCTTTATGAACTTTAAAACTATGTTTATTTACTTTTAACAGTGATATATGGTCTTCCTGTGCTGTCATACTCCAGCTACAAACACATAAAAATTCGTATATTAACGAATTTACTTTATATATATATATGTACTTTTTATTTAATCTGTTGCTATATATACAGACATAGACACTTACTGGTGGTATTACTATATCTGTGTGACTAATCAGTGATTTACGATATTTCATAATAAAGTCCTGCGCACGTTTTGATAATGGATGATTACTTAGTCGATCTAATGATGTAATAAGGTAGTTATACTAAAAAAATTGTCACAGTTGTAGATTAAATCATGCATACATATTTTTCACATATTGTCTGTAATATTATTATGTTACTCACATCCATGTCACTAAGAGTTTCAGATATTAATTTTTCCATATCCATTTTTTTTAACCAGGCAGAACTAATTAAATCGCTAAAAACATGGCACAATATATTTATGAAAAGCACATTGTGCTCTTTACTACATAGAATAATGTTTCTAAATTATGTATATGCATACTACAAATGTGTGTGTAACATATTCAGTAAGTATCTGATATAAAAAATCTTACATACATCTTATCCACAGGTAATGTTCCTTGTCTTATTAATGAATCTTCAATGCTATTCAAAGATTGGATTGTTTCCGTAATATGCTGTACATAAAAATATTGTTTAACATAATGCAAGATGTTCCATTTTGTAAGAATTACAACTTACATAAAGTATCTGGTAATAATTTGGTTTATACGTATAAAACATAGAATGATAAGGTCTCCCAGTTTCATCAAATTCTGCTGCTTTTTTGTTAGGAAATATTTCATTTGGATGTCGCATCATTGGCCGTGCTTTAGGATCATGTAGCCCAGATGGAAAAAGATATTCAATTGCGCTCTGGAAATAATAAAAAATTTAGTTTTACATATTATATTAGACATTGGTTAAACTGTTAAACATCGCTTACAATAACTACATACATTTATATCTTCTTGTGTAAAGAACTCTGGATCTTCACCCATCATATTAGCCAAATGCCTTTTGCCTATTTGATATTCTGTGATCTCTTTCTTCATAAATTCATCTTAAGAAATATAATTAATTAGTATATAGAATAATTTTTTAAAAGTGCTAACATTATCAATATGCTTCATAAAATATCAATTTAAAACTTAAAATAAAGTATTACCGTGCTCTTTTATTCGTTGCAAGTATGCCGTCATAGCTTTGCTCAATTTCTTGCTTGGTTTTGTCTTTTCAGATCTTAATATATTGTTGATTTCACTAACGTTTGTTGTGTATGCTTGTGATTTAATATTCTGTAATCACAAGATAATTGTTTAAATTATGAAATTGATACTCATTCAAGTACAATGAAGAATGAACATTGAGTTAAATTTACAATGTTATTGCAAAAATCTATTTCATTAATTATCGTTATTTTAAACTTACCGAATGTTGTGAGGTACCCAGAAATAAAGTGGTAACATTACTAACAATACCGATGAAACGTCGAAAAGGTGGACGTGTGAAAATAGATACAGCCATAATTGCTGCTAACAATAATTAATTAAAATAAACTGTTAATTAATTTATCGTCAATAATTTAATCTTGCACAAGTTAACCTATCAAAACCTTAAATTTGTTCCTTTTGCTTGCACTGGAACGAGAACACGCGATAAAGTTGAAAAATATATACATACTACATTGAAAAATAATTACGATGTCTGAGTGATAAATTCGTCTTAGTTTTCAAGATTTTAATTATTAATGATGCAAAATGTCGGTTACACGTTTTGTTATCTAACGATGTCGAATAGACAATCGTTTGCTGGAACTTGATTCTCAGTCAAGTGGCCAATGTTGGTTAAAAAAGGTTTGAGTCTTGAATGAAGAGATGAAGATAATTAGTTCTAAAGTCTCCGCTACAAGCCGCCACCATATACAATGAGAAGTTGCGTATTTTAAAGACTGTTGGTCTTACGGAATTTACACCTGTATTCATAGTCAGGCCTTATATTTAAGGCTTCCTTAAATTTATCTTCAGATGGTCTGTAGCCAATAAAATAATCCGTGCAGCATCTAAAGATGGATATAAGGAGGCCTCAAATATATGGTCTGTTCTTTGTAGCTGCACTGTTGAACTGGTGCAATAAGCTAGAGTGAGAACACCTATATTTGTCTCACTTTAACTTATTGTACCAGTTCAACAGTGCAGCTACAAAGAACATACCAATAAAGCCTGACTATGAATACGGGTATGGTGGAGGATTCACACTGCGTCCGATGTCCGATGTAGGTAAGGCGACAGTTCCCCGAAAAGTGGGGGGATAACGTTGGTACCAACGAAAATCTCTGCACGATATAATTTTAGTTTCTGTAGATTAGTACCACTGTTGAAGTAGTAAGTCTGTTAGTTTGCGCAAACCTTTTGACAGCTGTGCGCACGTATAAATAATACTGTACAACTATTATATATAAAAACGTAAATATAAAATATATTGTAATATTTCATTAAAATAAAATTAGGTAAAAATGACAAGTAAATGAAAACCTAAAATACGTAATAAGTGAGATAAATAAGTGAGAATATAAGTAATAAAATAATAAGTGAGCATACAAAGTGAACAAGAGAATAAAATAATAAATATTGTATTTACATAAGTTGTGTGTGTGTGTGTATGTAAGTAGATAAACAATAATTATATGTAACTAAATAATTTTAATTTTTCACTGTTTTGACATATCATAGTAAATATTACTCGTTGTTAGAGCATAGTTCTTCGCACTGGAATCAATTTACCTTCATTGTCATCAACAAATATATGTCAGATAAGTAATTTATATTTACATAAAATAAAAAATTAAATCTGCTATTCCTATATTTGGTTGGATTGGAACAATATATATTGGTCCAAGATGGAAATACTGTTACAAGATGGTAACAAACATCGAATATATCTATAGAAAACGACAATAAAAAATAATAGTAAACATCAATTTTACAAACCTGCACTCGTCAATCGGTCGTGGCTTTGCTGGTGAGGGATATTTGACATCAGAATGTAATTTCAACTTCTGTTTATAACTAGGACACAGTACCTTCACAATTTGGCAACCCTATTTCACAGAAAATTATTCTCTGGATATCAACTTTCAGCGAACATACGGATTGCTGTAGAGAGATTGATGTAGAGAGAGTCGTCAATGTAGTCGAAAATGTAGGGTTTTGAGAGGACTTTAATTTGGTGCCAGAACCAGGCCTGTATCTCTAACCGTTTAGGAGATATCGAAGATTAAAGTTTTCCAACCTTTCTCCGTTGATATTTCCGCTTCTACTGGGAGTAGAGAGTCGCCATTTACGGCAAAATGTAGGGTTTTGAGAGGACTTTAATTTGGTACCAGAGTCAGGCCTGTATCTCTAACCGTTTAGGAGATATCGAAGGTTAAAGTTTTCCTGCCTTTCTCCGTCGATATCCAGCCTTCCTCCGTCGATATCTCCGCTTCTACTGGGAGTAGAGAGTTTGCCATGTAGTCGAAAATGTAGGGTTTTGAAAGGACTTTAATTTGGTACCAGAGCCAGGCCTGTATCTCTAACCGTTTAGGAGATATCGAAGATTAAAGTTTTCAAACCTTTCTCCGTTGATATCTCCGCTTCTACTGAGAGTAGAGAGTCGCCATTTACGGCAAAATGTAGGGTTTTGAGAGGACTTTAATTTGGTACCAGAGCCAGGCCTGTATCTCTAACCGTTTAGGAGATATCGAAGGTTAAAGTTTTCCAGCCTTTCTCCATCGATATCCAGCCTTCTTCCGTCGATATCTCCGCTTCTACTGGGAGTAGAGAGTTTGCCATGTAGTCGAAAATGTAGGGTTTTGAAAGGACTTTAATTTGGTACCAGAGCCAGGCCTGTATCTCTAACCGTTTAGGAGATATCGAAGATTAACGTTTTCCAACATTTCTACGTTGATATCTCCGCTTCTACTGGGAGTAGAGAGTCGCCATTTACGGCAAAATGTAGGGTTTTGAGAGGACTTTAATTTGGTACCAGAGCCAGGCCTGTATCTCTAACCGATTAAGAGATATCGAAGGGTAAAGTTTTCCAGCCTTTCTCCGTCGATATCCAGCCTTCCTCCGTCGATATCTCCGCTTCTACTGGGAGTAGAGAGTTTTCCATGTAGTCGAAAATGTAGGGTTTTGAAAGGACTTTAATTTGGTACCAGAGCCAGGCCTGTATCTCTAACCGTTTAGGAGATATCGAAGGTTAAAGTTTTCCAGCCTTTCTCCGTCAATATCCAGCCTTCCTCCGTCGATATCTCCGCTTCTACTGGGAGTAGAGAGTTTGCTATGTAGTCGAAAATGTAGGGTTTTGAAAGGACTTTAATTTGGTACCAGAGCCAGGCCTGTATCTCTAACCGTTTAGGAGATATCGAAGATTAATGTTTTCCAAACTTTCTCCGTTGATATCTCCGCTTCTACTGGGAGCAGAGAGTCGCCATTTACGGCAAAATGTAGGGTTTTAAATCTCTGGACGTTTTATCGGAAATCTGAAATATTAACAATGTTTAATTGCAAGATAACCCTCACATATTACAAACCTCGAACATTTATTATATATAAATGTATTCTACTTACTTAAATAAGTGATATCCTTTTTTATTCGTATTATTGCAATTAACAATGCAACATGTACTTGGCATTATCTCGTTTATATATTTGCAGTTTTACTAATATAAATAGCAGTAGATACGACACATCAGTGTAGACACATCAGGTATCACATACTTACAGTACAGCACTACTACACACGCATCGGATACTCACGTACGCACTACAAACACACACCGCCGCCATGTTTTGGCGGTCTTCATGGCCGAACCGGAAAATAGGCGGGACACAGCTCTTGTATAGGTCAAAGATCGAAGTTAGCAATCTAGTATAGTATAGACATCTGTGCCTTACCCGGATGTACGATGTCCGACATCCAATAGGAGAACAGCTTTCTCAGAGAATTCAATTCTCCGATGTCCGACGTCGTACGGTCGCGGACATAACAATAAGCGCCCGTTTTTTTGCAACTTTTGGAACGCATCCCGACTTGAGAAGAATGAGAGTCACTGCTCCGCCTGCGGAGCATGCCTGCGCAGTGACTCACAACGAAAGGCGAGAAATGAAATATACGCGATGGGACATATTATAATAATACAGGCTCAGATGAAATGAATACTCCAGCATGGAAATGGAAATGAGGGAACACAGAACAGACAAGAATCATCCGATGTAAGTCTTATACTCCGGGGGGACATCCGAAAAAGGTAGAGATAAATAAACATGTTGGATATGTGGCAGATTTGCCATGATTGACATATCTGCACTATAAAATTTCTTTCAAAAATGCGATATATGCATCTTAAAGAGAAAACTTTCAAATGCATTTGTTAATGAACATTGCAACAACCAATTTATTACCTTTTTGCAATCAATCAAAGTCGAGAAGACATTTCTTGCTTCACATCGAATAGGTCATCAAAAAGAAATCATTTTAGAATCTGCAGATATGCAAATTGAAGAAGGATGAAGGAGAAAGTCTATGCTTTCAGGTCGTCCCAGCAGCTATGTGTGATATTCTATTTGCGACAATTAAGAAATAAATCTCACACGTGGAGAAATGTGTTTTTATATTTGCTTCATCTTTTATTCTCTTCAATAATATAAAATTACATACGTTAATAACACGAGATGAATATGTTACAATATTTCACAACGTAACGCGTGCCCAACGCGATTATGGGTTACGATTGGGAAGCGGTTGGGAGGAGACCATGTCTTAGCCCATGTTGAAACGCGCGACAACGATTTCATCGAGTCGAGGATGACGACCGCGGGCGGAAGTATCTGTACAACGAGACGCGTTTTGATTTCGTAACAGTTGACCGCTGCGTAAAGACAGAATTGCTCCGAATTCGACTCGTCTCGGCGGACATTTGACTTCGCGTGATCACTCGCTTCCGGCGCATGAAGATTCGACGACTCGAGGCTTCTTGAGAAGACGAAAGAGGGTAATTTGAAGCTGGCGGCAAATAGAGAAAAGAGAACCAGCCACGCGTCGCATCTCGTCGCTTGACCGGTGTAAATCGGGGATATACTTGTATAAATAGTACGAGAAACTATATTACAAAAATATACAGCGTCGCTGAGTCGACGCCACCGGTATCCATCCGCATTGAATTCTTCCAACGGCTCTGCATGTTCTCTCTCTTTCTCTCTCTCTCTCTTTCTCTCTTACGTCTACACTAATTACATAAATACATCTTATTTACATCTCTCGCGTGCGATTCGTGTTAGTTGGTAAGGTTGGCTGCGTACAATGTATGATTTGTTATCTCGATATAAAGACGCGGGGGATAATATAACTAATCAGCGGACACAATGATGTCGCATGATTCCTCTTCCTCCGTCTCACCTGTCGACAGATACATTTTACACAGAGTCTCTCCTGTGTGTATGTGAGTGAATGTTGTGTGTGTGCGTGTAGGTGTGTCGAGTTTTATATACTTTTAGAGACTTTTGGACTGAACGGTTCGCTAAGATATAGCCGAAAGTTACGATCAAATTAATCAGCGCAATTCCGTTTACCACCAGGCTTCTCTACACACAACTGAACTTGACACCTGAAAATTTAACAGCGATGTGAATTATGAAGTGAGGATATCCTTCCGAGACGCTTTTTGCACATTCGCGCTTTCACAATGAGAGACGCTAATGATCGCCCATTACGTTTGCAATGGAACTTTCTTTTTTAAGTGCCGACAAGTGCCGTGTGCAATCCGCAATTGCCCGCGACGTGAATTCGCCACTTATCGGTGTTTTCAATTTCAGAGGGCGGTGTGCATTCTACTTGGACGCTCTCGGAATCGATACACGCTCGTTTTTGCATGTTTTCTTTTCTTTCTTTCTTTTTTTTTCTCGTATGGACATATTTAACGGTCTAAGGTAGAGTTAAAATGTGTGTACCGTCGTCACTGGAGTAGCAGTTATGGCAATGAAGTTTATGATTTCGGACGCGCACGTCCGTTCCCATCAATCCATCGCCGAGACGCACGTGGCACACGCAGCACTTGAAGCACTCCATATGGTAGAACAGCCGTAGACTTTCGATTATCATCGCGGCACCTCGACCTGGTCGGATCAAAAAACAATGTGGTCAGACAATATGACAATATTCATCGATGTCGTCGAGCGCGATAAGAAGCGTCGAGTAACGTCCTCGTGCCAGCTCGATTACCTAATTCCTCTCCACAGTGCGAACATTTTTTCTTCCCACTCACGCTCAGCATTTTCTCCTGGTTTCCGCCGTTATTACTTGCGACTGGCGCATGTTGCGTTTTTTGCGGCGGTAACGCATACTGCGACGATTGATGCTGCATGGCCGAGAGATGCTCCTGGCTGTGCTCCGATCTGAAAATGCGAAGTAAATGCGTAATACGCGAGGTATGGAAAGTCTTCTCCTTCCAGCTCTGATAGTGTTTGTTTCACTGATAATGCAGTATGAGGTCGAGCATCGTCGTGAAATGCGAAACGAAGTAAGTCGTATCGGCAAGCACGACTTGCCTGTACCTCTCTCTCGATGTAGATTCTCATTTCATGCATTAAATTACATCTCTAAATATTTTCAATATTATTGCTATTCGTGTGGCACACATCAATTCACATACGAGGCGATGCGACGTTTTCTCTGTTATGTATGAATGTCGTTTCACGATTAAGATATTTGATTTTCGATTTTCTATTAGGAGTGATTTAGTGATTTTCAAGTGATTAGTTTTGAAGGTTTTTTTTCTTCTTTTTTTTCTTTTTCAAAAACTGACCTATTAAACTAGATAATGAACTGATACGTTAATCAAAATATTTTCTTTCATTTTCTACAACTTTTTCTCATCTTTCTGACAAGAGACGGATTCCGCGACGATAAAAAGATTCTTCTTTGGGATTGATTCAATTTTGAACAAATTTTTCGCACTTGTTCCAAGTTAAGAAAGTGTGTATCCTCTAGATCATGTTGCATCGACCGGAACAAGTGATGATCGGATAGAACAATGTCTGGGGAATACGCGGGGTGTGGAAAGACTTCTCCTTCCAGCTTTGATAGTGTTTGCTTTACTGATAATGCGATATGAGGTCGAGCATCGTCGTGAAGAAGGATCACTTTGCGTCGTTTACTCGCAATTGGTGATCGTTTTTGGTCCAATGCTCGCTTCAATTTGCGTAATTGTTGTCGACAACGATCAGTGGCGATTGGTTCATTTGAATTTAACAGTTCATAGTACTTAACCACCTTCTTGATCCCACCAAATACATAGCAACACCTTTGAACCGTGAGAATATTCCACCTCGAAATGGATGTTGATTGGCCTGGATCAACCCGTGACTTTTTTCGTCTGGGATTATCGAAATAGATCCATTTTTCACCTCCGGCAACAATTCGATACAAAAAACTCTTTATTTTTATCCGGCGATCAACGAAATGCAAATGTTCAACCGGTTCGCAATGGCATTTTTCCGATAATTGATGTGGAACCTATTTTTCTTCTTTGTAAATCTTTCTCGTATCATGTAAACGTTTAGTAACTGTTGCACGATCAACATCCAATGCTCTGGCAAGTTCTGAAGTGAATTGTGCTGGATTTTCGTCCAAATCATTGCTTTTGAATCCAGTCCAAACCAATATTCATATGTCTTAAGTTTCTATCATTTCTATCACAATTTCTATCACAATTCTATCACTTTCAGCTGTCGATTTTTCCTGATTAAAGTCTTACAATATGCTCTACAATAAGCTCCTTGTTTTCTGTTTCTTTTTCTTAATCTTCTATTCTTTTTGACTCAAACTTTGTGTCTCAAGATAGAAAAAGATAAAGAATATAGAAAACAGGAAGCAGGAGCATATTGTAGATTAGGCTTAAGAAACAAAAGCAACGCGTGTCGGAAATGCTCTTTAGGAATCATTTTTAAGATAATATTAACACGATTTTTACCGCGTTTATTGTTAGTAAATAACTAGATGTCATGGAGTAATATTAAAGCATCAAGAAACAATAGCTGTGATTGGGCTGTGTCTCCGACGAAACTGACATTAGTGCCAGCTCTTGCAAAACCTTCAAAACTAGATCACACCCCTAATAATTCTTCACTAATTCACAGAGAGATTATCGAATTTGTCGTTCGAGCTTTACCTTCTCCTCGTCGAGGGCGGCTTCTCCTGCGTCTTGTTTTGCACCCTTTGTGTCAGCGTTTGTATGATAGAATCGGGTAGCGGCTTGGTATCTGGCCGAGCCGGAGCGTTGTACGGCACGGAGGTACCAGTTACGTGCGGCTGGGATTTCCGCGCCGGTGACCGTTGATTTCTCTCATTAATCCTCCTGTGTTCCGCCTCCTGTCGAGGAAGTACACGTCTCAGATAATACAGGATGGCGCACGATAGTGTGTCCGTATCTCATTATACATCACACGCTGTTAAATGCACACTTTCACGATTTCACGAAAGATTTAACGCAAATTAATTGGCCACATTCGGCAAATTTGAATACAAATTTGAATATGACTTTTGCTGACACCCTCAAACATCCCCAAGGACCACAGACGAGTACGAAACGTATCTTGTTATTATCGTATATCGACATTTATCATTTTGCGGCACAAACTGTTGATGAGAAATGATGATGAGAATTCACAGCGCGATTCATAGTTGCAATCCCCCGGTTCGCTGCGAGGGCGTTCATGAATGTACACGCACCTGAATGAGCCAGTGCTGGTAGTTGAAGTCGTGAGCGCCCCTCGGCACGTCGCTTTTTCTCCGCTGCACCCACTGATCGCCTTGGACGATTCGCGGCCGCGGTGCTGCGCTCAATGCCTGTAAAGTCTGTCTGGACATTTGCTGGCCGGCGTGACTCGCGAGCGTCGTTGCCGATGCGCTCTCCCGAATCGACGCGTCTACTTGCTGAGGAATCGAGTCCGCCGATGGTATACGGCTGTTTCTGAACAGCACAAGGAAGGGCTCGGCTCAACTTTGATATGTTTTATCAGGCAACTGTTATCATGCATCGGTTACTCTCTGACTCGGTCTCGAACGAATCGACATCTCTGAGAACGCGAGGGTCAAAAGCAAAGGACTTGAAGCGCGACTAATCGGAAGGTTCAGAAACCTCTCTGTCTGCAGTTTATTTACCTGATAGTGACGTCTCTTTGTCTTTGATCTAGCATACGTGGTTTAGTAAGCGGGATTGGCGGCGGTGGTGGTCTTCTTCTTGGCGTGTCCTGAAACTGTAGGTTCGGCATCGACGAGCCATAATTCACCGTGGGCACGTGGTACTTGTACTGTTGCGTGCTCTTCATGGAGCTCTGCGCAACGTCCTGCAAGGACTTCCACTGTTCCTGCAGCTGCTCCGCCAACCGGAGCTGCTTCTGCTCGCGGTAAGCTAAATTACTGCGTTGCCTCTTCAGCTCCTCCTGCTCCAGCTGCAGCAGCTCCCTCTCCACCCGTAGCACCTCCTAAGCGTGTGTGTGTGCGAACGTTACGTTAAGTGTGTGATGTTATAATCGAGTGGCTCTTCTTCGTTACACCTACTCGTCACTCTACGCGCGCCATACATTCGAGAGACGCCGAAAGCTAATGCGTCGTTAATCTATTTGCACAAGACACTATTAAGTGAGCGGAGAGATTATTCTATCGAGAGCCGAGGACGCTGATCTCTTTTCCAAGATTAGTCAAGACACCCGACAGAGAGACACTCTGAGACTATGTAAAGAGGCAGCGAAGAAGTGCGAACGGAGAGAGTATATCCCGACGCGAGTACTTTTGTGTGACGCAAAGACTCAGTGCAGATAAGCCTAAGCTAAAAGAAGGTGACGAAAACTGTTGCCTTACCCCGGAAGGGAACTCATCTTCGTTGCCGCTCAACCCATCACCGACCAGTGCCTTGTTCTGCGAATAATTAGCAACGATCCCTCCATCAATATTTACACTACGTTGTATAACCGATTCGCAGCGCACTACCGAGAGAGCCGATCGAGTCCTCCGGGCGTTGTTGCAACGAACGAACGAACGAACGAGCGTGATGCCCCGCGCTGGATAAACACAACTATCGGATAAACGAGACGATGCCGCGGGAATGAAGATAACATCGCCCGGAGGATGATGACATCTCCAAAGCTATCGGTTAAGAAGGCGTGCTTCGCCGAAGGAAATCTGTGCACAAGTCTCAAGTTTCCCGAGCAGCACAACCGACAGAGAGACTCTAAGAGAAAAGGAGGAAGAGAGAGAGAGAGAGAGAGAGAGAGAGAGAGAGAGAGAGAGAGAGAGAGAGAGAGAGAGAGAGAGTCTCTCTCTCTTCTCTTCTCGCTTAAGACTCAACATCTACGTTACTCATAACGCCGCCGCGTCTTTCCTCGTTAGCGTCGCGCGAGAAACAAAGCCGAGATAGAGATAGAGATAGAGAGAGAGGGGGGAGGGGGAGAGAGAGAGAGAGAGAGAGAGAGAGAGAGAGAGAGAGAGAGAGAGAGAGAGAGAGAGAGAGAGAGAGAGAGAGAGAGAGAGAGAGAGAGAGGCCAATCTCACCTCTTGCTCGCGAATCTGACTCTCCATCGTCCGGATGCGCATCTCCTCCTTGCGACACGCATCGGCGACTTTCCGCTCCTTCTCCTCGATCTCGTTCTGCATCCTCAGCTGCTCCGACTGCATCTCGAGCTGCTCGTCTCTCCGCTGGTCCCCGACGTACTTGGCTTCCTCCTCGGTCGTACGCGCCGCCGCTTGGGCCTCCCGCTGTTTCGCCGTCTCATCGTGCTGTTGCTGCTGCTGCTGCTGCTGCTGCTCGTGCGGGGCCTCTTCCTGCTGCTTGCGCGCGTTGTCGTCCCGCTGCTTGCGAAACGCGTCCTCGTTGCAGCGTAGGATCACCTCCTGCGCGCGCTCCCTCTCCAGCTGCATCTTCTCCTCCTCGAGCTCGCGCAGCTTGTGGGCCAGTTTTTCGCCCAAGTCACTGTCGCGTCATCGTTATGCGTTATTCGATCGATTGTGGCCGCCATGAGGCCATCAGGCTCTCTCTTATCATCATTTAGGGAACATTTTACGGACGGCTTTCGAATTGAGAAGAGATTATAGGAGGTGGGAGAGGAAGGAGGGAACAGGAAACTATTCCTACCTGTTGAACTCGCGATTATCCCCGTAGCGCCATTGCTCCTCCTTCTCGAGGACCTCGATGATCTCCCGCTCCTTTTTGGTGATCTCGTCCTCCTCGGAGGAGGTCACGCTGGCGCCGAAGGGCTCGCTGCTCTGTCTGCTGTGCTGCGACATGTCAGGACTGACGGGCTGCTTCGTCCAATCCTCGACGTGACCCAACTCGACCCCGGAGTCTCTCTCATGACTCGAATCTTGCTCATAGTTACTGTCCGTGTCGAAGGAACGACGATGAAGTTGCTCAATGCGTCTCTCCTCGGCAAGGATAGCCGCCATGTCCGGTGGTTTGGTCAGCGTCAATACAGGCTCGAGATCATCATCGTTGACCTGCTGTGTCAATACGGAAGTGTTGTCGTTTAAAGTCAAATTTATTCAACGCGGGAATCACGGGAGCAGGCAATCGCTAAGATCAAAAGTGGACCGGAAGTTCGAATTGGCGGCCGCCGTTCGGCAAATTTCGAAAGTTCACTTAAACGGTATCTACCCAACATGCGCGTCTGAAAGGCATCTAAAAAGAAAAAGTAGGACGTCTGTAAGATGTCTTTGAACCAAACATCCTCCGCGTGCATAAATCTGTACGTCTAGTTTTATATAGCTCTTATACCGGGTGTTAAATTTCGAGCGTAACATAAAGCCGAGCACCTCGGAAACTGAATGCGGCAGACAAAGGTGTTTCAGAACAAAGTTGTAGAGTTTCAATAAATGCATCGAATAGTTCGATACTCATTTGACCTTGAGAACAGTTATGAAGAACGTCAAAGGTCAACTTTAAAATCTTAAATGGAAACTCTCATTCGCTATTATGTCATCTTGTTCTACCGATTAATTTGAGCGACTTTTGTCCGAAACATTTTTTTATCGACCTAATATTTCTTTAGATATTTAACCCTTTGTTGTATAGCAATCCTTCCAGAGTGCCACCTATCGTCCAAGCTTGTTTTTCCAGTAATTTAAATTTTTCACATATTTCTTTAGCATATTCGGTATTGTTAAACTACTAAAATGTTCCTCTAACTAATACATCAACTTTTTGAGTCATTTCAAATAAGTACTTTATTATTAATAAGCATATGCTAAACAAAACTGTTTTTAGAGAATAAATTCGTTTACATGAAATTTTAAGTAATAACGTATACTTCAAAATCATTATCTGAGGATTTTTGAGGTCGCTGGATACAAATCTGGTGTGAAAAATACAAAATTCAAAATGGCTGACTCAATATGGCGGACGGAATTTTTAAACTCAGTCGAATTCTCTTGAAATTTGTTACTCGGGGGTTTTTGAAGTCGCTGAATGCAAATTCTAACTATTTCGGTCGGAGGAAAAAGTGCTACTGGACTTTTTTGCTCCGTTTGGTCTCAAGAATATTGCGACAGTGTCCCAACTTTTGTCAACTCGATGACTTTGAAATTTCCAAAGGTCATTACGTTTGAAATTTAGCACTCCGTAATGTAATATCGGAAACGCAAACCGTTGTTGTAAACCGTAACACAAATCTGTACATCCAGATCTCATATGATAGTGCAATTATAAACTGGTATGGTCGAAAAATATCTCTTCAGAAGACGACAGCGGCCAGCAGAAAAAAGTCGCGTACGATCGGCCTCTCCGTCAAAATGTCGATAAATTCGCAACAATTTCCTCTGACGAGCGGGTGGTGTCAACCTCAATCGCAAGTGAAACACGTCCGACGGTAAAAAGAATCCCGCGCCATATTCCGCTCTCGTGCTTACCCCCTCGATGCCGAGAAAATCCGAGCGCCTCGTGCGCAGCTCTTTCTTGATCCTACGAGTAGAGTTCAATCTCTTGAGCGGCTCCGGGGGAGGATTCTCATCGTCGCTGACGTCCACCGGTGGCGGCGGTGGTTTCTCCTTGGGCGGCTCCACGCTCGTCAGCGGACTCAGCAGGAAGGGTTGGCCAGCGATGATCTCCTCGTCGTTAGACAAGGTGAGCGGCAGGATCTGCAACAAACAGCCGAGCGATGTGTCGCTCAGAGATGTCCACGTTCTCAAGATATCCGTTTCTTCACCCGGCTCTTCCACTTCTCTCCGCCGCTACCGGTCTTCTCTCTCCGTATCTATCGGAGAGATCGGACAACCTCCGGAGATGTCGCCGGGCGATCTACCAACCTGTTTGGAAATCGGCGAGGCCGGGCTCGGGATGCTCAGCGCGTTGGCCAAGTTGACTTCCTGTTTGGCCAGGCTCAAGCTCGTCGGTCTCTCCGGCAGCCGACTGGCCGTCGATGTGACAACTGCGGGCGCATCGTGCACGTCGATGTCGGCGACGCACTTCCTCGTGCTGGCGGCGGGCAAGCCGAGGCTCATCGGCGTTTCCGTTTTCTCGCGCTGCTCGTGCTGCTCGTGCTCGACTGCCGGGGCCGCCGGGCGGATCGCAGCTGCCTCCTCCTGGTCCGCTTTCTCGATAACGATCCGTTCCTAAGGAGACGAGTCGTGGTGTAGCCGAGGCACAAAGAGCACGTAAAACACGGACCGCGCCGGTCTCGCACCGCGCGCCGCCACGAATTTTGCAACGCCACATTCTATGCAAATTGCTGGAGATCGTCCAAGGTGCAGAGAGTTTCTCAAACCCGCGAGGATCGCGAAGCGGATGATGGCTTTTGATGAAGAAGACAGATTGCGCGCCTATCACGAGATTCTGATGGCTGACGGCTGCTGACGCTTGTTGTGAGAGACGCGCGCGATTCTTCTCGTCGTTTCATCGAAGTCAGTCATGTGGGATCCTCGAGACGCGCGAGCAGATGCGACGCCGGTCGAACGTGAATTTGATAATCGTTAGAAGATCGTTAGAGATCACTCGGACCGTTTCGCGTTTCGGCCAGCCGATCGCTCAGGAATATCTTTCGTAACGTCAAGTCGACGCGAAGATAATTACGTACTTACAAAAGTAATACAGGGTGTCCCATTTTACAGCCAGGCAAAAATCTCGAAAACTATGAGAGATACTAAGGAACGTTGCAGACAAAAGTTGTATGGTTTCGAGGGGGATATGAAACAACTGTATCATTTTATTTGCAGATGGCGCCACTTTCGAGATATTCATTCATCATTACTTTTCTCAAATGGAAACCCCAATTTTTTATCATATCATCTTCTTCTACCAATTAATTTGCACAACTTTTGTCTGAAACATTTTTTTATTTGCCTAATATTTGTTGAGATGTTTAAGGAAAATTTGATAACTTTTTCAATATTTAACTTACGATATTTCGCTAAATATTTGTCGGAAGAAAAAGTGGTACTAGATATTTTTGCTTCATTTGACCTCGAGAATATATTGTTACCAGAGCGTTGCTCTGACTTTTGTTAATTTGATGGTTTTGAAATTTTCAAAGATCGATAAGTTGACAAAAGTTAGGGCATAATTGCAACAGTATATTCTTAAGACCAAATAGAGTAAAAAAAAAAGTCTAGTGCCATTTTTTCTTTCAATGAGTAGGTTATCGAGATATTGTAAACCAAAATATCTAAAAAAATATTAGGCAAGTAAAAAAAATGTTTCAAGCAAGAATTGTAAAAATTAATTGGTAAAAAAAGATGATATAAAAAAAAAATAATAAAAACAATAAAAAATAAATCTTGAAAAAGTCACCAAATTTTCCTGAAGTATCTGAAAAATATTAGGCAAATAAAAAAATCACATAAAAGTTGTTAAAATTAATTGGTAGAAAAAGACGATATAATAAAAAATAATAAATCCTAAAAAGTTACCAAGTTTTCCTGAAATATCTCAAAGAATATTAGGCAAATAAAAAAATGTTTCCGACAAGAATGATTAAAATTGAAAAATGGTTCAATTTGGTAGAAAAAGATGATATAATAAAAAATTATATTTCTATTTCCATTCAAGCAATCTCGTAACGCGGATTTCTCCATTTACGAAAAGTAATGATCAGTGAATATCTCGAAAATGGTGCCATCTATAAGAAACAAAATGATACAGCTATCTTTCATAATTGTCGAGGTTTTCGCCTGACTTGTTTGAAATGAGACACCCTGCACAACTAAATAACGTGAAGAACAGAAGCAATGCCGGACTCGATCGATGAAAAAGAACTTAAGAAATTGACCGGCAAAATTAGCGTGTTAAACAATTTAGCGAAGCGCCAGCCTTCGATCGGAAGCTTCGAGCGAAATCTCGTTCCCCGAAAGTCGCTTGCAGCTCAGGCGGAGGTTGTTGCATCAGCAAACGGAATAACATGACGCGCGTGTGCTTCGGCATCGCGACGCCATTGTCACGAGGTATCTCTTCCCAGTCACAGAAGTTGCGTGAAAAATGTTGAGAAAACGTCCTGCGCGCTGCTGTGCGATTCTTGCCGTGGGAACACGCGGGCGCATTTTACCAGGTCGGTGTGCACGTTGCGTAATGTTGCGCGTCCGAGGAATCTCGCGGATCTGCTCGATTACGAACGCGTTTTTCCCTGCGACTTGGCGCGTCTCCGTGAGAAAAGGCGCGATACTAATCGACCGAAGCGGCCTCGGGAGTGACATTGAAGTTTCTCCAAAGCGGGAATTCATCCAATCTCATGCAATCTACCGGCTGCCAAAAACCTACGATTAAGGACGTTGCAAAATTCTCGCACATGTCGGCCGCTGGTAGTCACTTGAGTAATCAGCGAAATTACTCCGCGAAGTATATCCGCGCATATCAATGTGCTTTACACAATGCTGCACGTGATGGGAGGCGCATCAATCGATGCGACGCGATCACGTGTGTGACTGGCGAAGTACCGAGAGGAAACCTGGCGATTGTTAAGAAAGCACGACAGCCGAGCGTTCGCATGCGTTCTCGTTCAATGCTGTCGTCGCTTTTGCCGTCGCCGGTCCTAAAACTACAAACGACTGAGAGCGAGTAACAGCGTATTTCCCAATCAAGCGATTCGCAAGTTCTAAGTGCTGAAAAAGCGCAGAACAGATTGCCAATCTAATTTCCCGGACGTTGACGCGCCAGCGGGCCCGGCCGTGCTCGGGAGAAATTTACTTCTCTACGATCTACCTCTTTCAAAGCAGAGCAGCGCCTCGCTCGGAGGAGGGAATTATCGCACTTTTATGTACAAATAGCGTCAACTGCCGCAGCTCGTTCGGGTTTTCTCTAATCGCGTCTCGAAAGCGGCCAGCGAGCGTCTCTTCAGCTTCTCAAAAGCTACAAGCGCATGAATATTCAAGTCACGATCACGCTCTCGCCGGTATGATTTCACACACACATACACACACACACACACACACACACACACACACTGTACGGGCAGATAAAAAAAAGAAAAGAAGAAGAAAGGAAGAACAAGTCCCAACTTGGCCAACGCAACCGTTCGGTAGCGCCTCTTACCTCACGGGTCATATTCGCAAATCGCATGCAGGGGCGAGTAAAGAACGAGGGAGGAGACTACGTTCACTTTCCCATCGCAAGCGGTCGTCGTGCACACGCCTCGAAAATTGCACAGCCACTAGAAACCGTGATCTCAGGTGATGTCAGACTGGTTAAGGCATGAGCGTTGCTGTACATACGGCGCGATAAGGCGCGCTTTTCGGCGACTGCGATAAGAGAGATATCTAGCGCACGCGTTATCGGGGCTCAAACTCTCCGGGCGGAATGCAGGTGCGTGCGGCGTGTCTAATCGCGGAGCCGAGACCGATAAGAGGAGGCGGTGTGATCATCAGGGTCTACCTTGCGTCTAGGCAACGTGGACGATGCTAACGAGCGGACCAACGCCGACGCTATCGGCATGTTACGTTTCATCGCAAGTGTCGCGAGTAATTTATGAGAGTAGCCACGCGTGATATGCACACACACACACACACACACACACACACACACACGTGATGTCGCAATCTCTTCAGCGCGGCTTTACGATCTGGAATGATCGGAGATTAATTTCTCCTCGGATAACTTTTTGCCTCTTGCGCCTCCACTCGTTTTCTTTTTCTTTCTTTCTGTATCCGTGTGCGGAGCGCTTCGAAGATAGACCTTGAGTGAATCGACGTGCTAACCACACACAGAGCCATGCGTGTCTCGTGGAAGTGTCATTCTCTCGCTCTGGGTCTACTACTAGAGGAAGAAGAAAAGAAAAAAAAAGAAAAGAGGTGAAAAGAAAGAGAAAAAAGCCGCCCGTCCTCTGGGACGATACGTTCTCTGGGAGTGACACACAATCATTCAGGCAAATCACTGCTTGCTCGATGCAATCAAGTATAAGTGACGTCTTACCTCTTCGGCGCATCGAGGACGAGACATGGGGAAAGAAGAAAGCGATCGCGGTCCGCGCCGAGAGGAGCGAGCGACTGTGACCGTTGATGGAAATATCGTCGGCGGCGGCTCATGAGACTTTTTATCGCGGCCGCTACGAGCTCTTTAGCGGCGATCGAGTAGCACTGCGACTGACCTCCGCGACTCGCCGCGTCACGAGGACGACATATCTTTCGCACTTTGGACATACGCGGCTGTCGCTAAAAGCGCATATTTGCGCGGCCTGTTAACTTCGACGCGCGAACCGCGTCGAGACTTTGGCGCCGATAAGGCGCCTCCGTCGTTTGATTCGTCGCGCTGGAATTTATTCCAGCTTACGATAATCCCGCGAAGCGCGTTTCCGTCGCGTTCTCTGTCACGAACTGACGAATCGAGTACTCAATCTGCGGACAATTTTGAATCTCTACGAAGTTCCAACTGACAGGTTTGGGAAAGTTACCTTATAAAAGTGTCTAGTTACAGTCATAGTTTTTTTTCACTGAAAAAGTAACTAGTTATAGTTACAAGTTATGCTGACCTTAAAAAATAACATATTACAGTTATAGTTATTTGGAGTCGTTACTTTTCAGTTACTTTTTTACAATAATTATGTAAATTCCTTCAATTTTAGGTAAAAGTAGTTTGTTGATTATTACATACTCCTCATAGTGTATATAATTTTTACAAATTAGATTCATGAATTTAAACAAGCAATTCATATTTATTTTTTAAGACTATTAATAACAATTATAAAAAAGTGAATGAATTTGATGAGGATAATAAATATTAAAAATATTAAAAATAATCTTAATATCAAAATTCAATTTTTCCATTAAAAAAGATATTGATATTTTATAAATAAAGACTCATACTCGTATATTTTTTTTAAATTTGCAGTTAAAGTTCTACTTGCATGAATAATTTTTTCGCCGGCGCAAATTTTGCAGAGAAATGCTTAGTTGTTCTCGTTTTCAAATTTTTGCTGTAACTCAAATATTTCTGCATATGCTGGCCATGGCACTTTATAATCCTTCTCCGAAGATTGAGATGTTTTATCCATTGCTTGAATTTTTTATATAACTGAAACCACGCAGCGCACTTTACACTGAACGCAGGTTATGTTAACAAATAAGAACTGGCGACGTACGACGGAAATGTCCAATTTCTAGGCGTACAATTTTTTTGAAAGAAATACAGGTTGCGTTCGGAGAGGAGACGATCAGCGCTGTTGCATCATTTTATCCTTGTTTTACATCTAATGAACGATAAAGATAGATGACGCAATAGCGCGTTTTTCCAAATGCAGCCAGAATAATTGTATGCTTCTTGAATATCAAGTGTCGCGTTATCGCGCTGGTCTGTCAGGAATTCAAGTTTGAAATATATAAAGTAACTATTAAATCAGTTACCAGTTATCAAACAAATGCAAATAAGTTAAGTTACAGTTATAGATGGAAAAAAACGGAATGAAGTTAAGTTACCAACAAAAAAAAAAAAAACTGTAACTTCGTTACATAGACGTATAATAATTAGACCGCGCATTCGGCCGAAAAGTCGTCAAATATTAGAAAGAGAGAGAGAGAGAGCATTTGGGGTATCATTCTGTCTTCGTCTGATAATGTTTGGAGCGGGGATTACTTGTATCGTTCCACTCCCCTCTTCTTCTTTCTTCTTTTTTCGTTCCCCACCAAAGGCTTCTTCATCCTACCACGCGTCTTTAGAGAAAGACAGAATGGTGCCCGAACAGCGACTATCTCTTTCTAATTTCTGACGCATTCTAGCAATGGGAGACTTTGAGACCGCGCGATCCAGATATTATACGTCTATGCTTCGTTACAAGTAACGAGTTACTTCCCAATCCTGTCAACTGACGTCGCGACACCGAGCACGAAAAATTGCAAAATTGTCGACCGTGCGACTCGGCGAGCAAATCTGTCGGTTTTCCCCAACCGACCAGGTAGACCTTCCACGCGACAGCGAAAGAGATTTCAGCTGCTGGGGACCAGGACGACAGTGTCAAGGAGCTTTCTGAGAATCCTGTGTGCACCAAGTCTGGGAGAAGCCTCCGAGAGCCTGGCAGTCGGACGCGTGTGAGAAGAAGGAAACACGACATGGCGGATTTCGCTGGCCAGTGTATGCTTATATTTCATCGTTGCTCGTTTTCTCTTTATCGACCGCTACAATCCGTGACAATCAGTCGTAATCGCGCTCGTCGAGTGCGTCGACGAGACCCTTTGAAGCCGCTACAAAAGACCGTTACGAGTGCAACTCGAGCGTTCGCCCGAGTTTTCGGCCGCGATATTTCTTCCCTCACATCGACACGTAAGCTCTCCATCGAGCCGCGGAGCCTCCGCGACCTAAAATACGTGACATTCGGCGATTTACGGTAAGACGAGGAGCGACTGAACAGCGTTATCACAATGAGTTTGTTCTCCCTTACGAGCGATTTCAGCAACGTCAGTGAAACTTCATCCCGGCTCGCTCGAGCGTTCTCCCGTGCCTTCACCGACGGCGAGCAGAAGGAAGAAGAGAAAAAGAGAGAGAGAGAGAGAGAGAGAGAGAGAGAGAGAGAGAGAGAGACCGCAACTTTCGACGTGGACGTGGACGAAGCCGATCGAGCCGCGATGAAAGTCAGTCCTCGAGACGTTGTCGAAGCCGGCGAGCGAGTGTACCTCGTTTATCCAAGATGGCGTCGCGCGCCTAATAATCGGCAGTGTTGAAAGCGCCCGCTGCCGTCGCGCGCATCAGTCGGCGGCGTAATTGTAAACTTTATTACACACACACACACACACACACAGGTCTCGCTATGCCGTTAGAGAGTGTAGTAGCCGTTACACGGTATAGTTTCCGCGTCTAATCCGATCTAACTCTACACGGTGTGCCGGAGAGATTATCTTATGTATCTTCCGCACCTGCACGTCGCGCGTCTATATACATGATCGGCCGATGACGTAGCCTTTCTCTCTCTCTCTTACGTTTACGTAATACGTACCGCGCTCCCAAGCAAGCGCGCAAAGGACGTGGAGCCTCGTCGCTGATCCTCGCGGTAAGCCGCTGCTCGGAGGACCGGGGGAGCGGAACTGGATGACTCTCGCAGAAATGTAAACGTTCTCCAGCGAAAGCCGCGAACGAGCGCGCGCGATCGCCTCGGCGACAACTGATGTCGCACGGGTTGAACGAGAAGTCGCGAGTCGCGTTCAGAGATTAGCCTACCGGCTCGGGCGACACTTGGGGCGACGTTACATGGAAGCTATCAGTCTTGAAGACGACACGACTGCTCATGTGAGATCCTCCCTCTCCCTCCCTCCCTCTCTTTCTCTCTCTCTCTCTCTCTCTCTCTCTCTCTCTCTCTCTCTCTCTCTCTCTCTCTCTCTCTCTCGCGCGCCCTACGAGTCCGCGTGGCCCGAGATGTAATCTCTTTGTCTTATATACAAGATCTAGCACGGCTTATCTAGAGGCTGACCAAAGGAGGACAATGACGTGTTTACTTGACACGAGTCGAAAAGGCCCTGGCGCGTGTTTAGGACTTTTTCGAGGCGTTGCCGACTTGCTGCTGCTGCTGATCGTGCCTAACCTCGCTCGTCTGCTTCTCGTTGACGCGGTTCACCGTGATGAACGGCGTCACCGGCGGCGTCGTCGGTGCCTTGCCCTGAGGTACCACCACCTTCTCGCACACCTCCACCACGGTCCGACGTCGTTCCGTCGCGGCGACCGGCAGCGTCGGTTCCTCATGGCATCGCGCGCTCGCTGACGGGATTCTCGATGCCGACGTGGCGAGCGCTTCCGTCTGCGGGGACTCGACGTAGCTCGGCAGCGAGCAGGCAGCCTGACTCGTCGTCGAGGCTGGTTTGCTGCTCGCCGGATGCGACTTCGCCGGCGAGGCTTTGAGGCCGCCGGCGGACGGGCCGGGCGACGAGGTCAAAGCGGAGTCGGAGCTCGTCGGCGAAGACTTGGCGCCCTTCCGAGACAGCGGGGTAGGGATCTTGGACGCCGCGCGGGAGGGCGCGGGCTTGGAGGCCGGGGACTCCGGGCTGGGCCCGATCGTCGCTCTCACGGCGGGGAAGGACAACTGGTAAGTCTCCGCGATGCCAAGGTCCGAAGGTGGCTGGAACTGCTCCTTGGGCGGATTCTGTCGCTTCGCCGGGCCGACGAACTTTGATCGCGCCTGCTCGATCGAGAGCTTCAGGCTGGCCGACACTACGGACTCGCTGGGGCTCGGGTCCGACTCTGCTTTGAGCTCGGCCGCGTCCTTGCCGAAGGCGCGCGCTTTCGCGAGATCGTCGGGGGCGGCGCTTTCTCGCTGAGGTACTTTGGGACTCAGGTGGGCAGTCGCGCGAGGCACGGAGGTATGCGAACGAAGTGTATTAGAATTAGTAGTGGTCTCTACGTGCGTCTGCGGCTGTGATTTGTTAGTCGATAGTTCCCCAGAGGTGTCAGCGGTACCCTACAGAATCAGAGAGTTATGATCCAGTTTGTAGTTGTCCAAGACCCACAGCCAAAAGAGAAGAAGGGAGAAGGAAGGACAGATAGAGAGGAAGAAGATAGATAGATAGAGAGAGAGAAAGAGAGAGAGAGAGAGAGAGCACAGCAAGTGTGCGGGGCCAGGTACTAGAAGAGGTGTGTCAGTCAGTGGAATCTCGAGGTTGCACTTGCAGGTTGAGAAACCCGAGCCAAGTTACCGAGTTCGTGACTGCGCCTTTACCGTGCCATCGTTTGCACAAAAGTTGCGACTTACGAGCTGCGTCTGTCTGCGCACCTCATACTTGAAGAGAGCGGCAGCTCCCGAAGCTCCAGTGCGCGAGTTCATGCACAGAGCCGCGTTTTCACGGTCTCGTCAACTTGGCGTGTTTATCCCCTCGCCGGCGATTAGAACCGACGTGAGCGCTCCTACCCGGCACCTGACTTGACCTACCTTGTTCACCGCTACTGCCTCCCGATGACTGGCGAACTGGTGAGTCGTTGTCGTGCTGTCGCTCGACGCCTCGAGCGTCGTGGCGCCGCTCGCTGGCGCTGACGCGTTCTCCTGGACAGCCGCGGGTTTGACTCTGTCTTCGCTCGCGGTCTCCCGTCGCTCGACGATGCTGCTGGTGTGCACGATCTCCTCGTCGATCGGCTCGTCCGCCTGGCTGACCGAGCAGCTGACGTCCGCGGTGTGGATGCCCGAGTCCTCGCGGTCTGTGTCGTTGAGGAGCTCGGCGGACGACGACGAGGCGGGATACCGCCGGCTGTAGTCGAGTTCCTCGAGGCTCTGCACGCGCTCGAAGGTGTCGGGTCCGCTGGACGCGTCAGCGTCCAGGGAGTCTAAGCTCCTGTGGAAGATGGCGCGAGGCACGCGGTACTCCGAGTCCGGCGACGAGCTCCTCTCGCTGGGAGTCGACGTGTCGATCCTGTTCTCCTGGTCTCGGAAGCAGAGCGCGGCGTGCTTGTTGCTGGCGGCTTGCCGTTTCTCCGTCGAGTCCTTGCTCCGGGCGGCGTCCAGAGCGCTGAGGCGATCCTTGATCGTCCTGGCGGTGAGCTCGCCGTTATGCCGGCTGTCGTTCGTTGTGGTCGGCACCGACGACTCGTCGCTGCTGCTGTACTTCTCCAGGGTGGACAGCCTTTCCCTCAGAGGCCTCACCGTCTCCAAATCCTCCGTGCTGAGCTTGCGGTGAACGGAGCTCTTGCTCTCTCGCTCCGAAGCTTGCTTCTCCAGGTGGGTGAGCCTCTCCCGGATCGAGCTCATGTCGCCGGATAGTCGGTTGAGCGTCGACTTACCGCTGCCTTTGTCGCCGTTCTCCGCCTCGTTCTGCTTCTGCTTCTCGAGGCTCGACAGCCGTTCCTTGATCGACTTGGTGCCGGTGAAGTCGCCGGACAGCCTGTTGTTCGCCTTGCTGTCGTTGCTCTTCTGCGACGCCTTCTCGAACACCTCGCGCCTCTTCAGTATGTCCACCTTTACCACCGACAGCGGGGACTTGCTGTCGTCGTTCAGGCTCGTCGTCTTCGGGCCGTTCACCGACGACTTCGAAGCGGCCTCGAGCTTCGAGTCGATGCCGCTCAGGGACCTCCTCGGGATATTTTGCGACACCCGTGACACGTAACCGCGAATGGCGCCCTCGTACGTGTACTCTTCCGGCTCGGGCGAGCTTGTAGTCGCGGTGGTCGCGGAGTCGTACTCTTGGTTGTGATGGTGGAAACTACCGGCGAACGCTTTCCTCGTCACGCTGGACATCGCCGCCGTGGACGTCGCGGCTGTCGTTGCCGGCGCGATTACCGTCAGCATCGCCGTTGCCGTTGTTGACACCGCCACCGTCGCCGCCGCCGCCGCCGCCGCCGCTGCCGCTGCCGCTGCCGTCGTTGTCGTTGTCGTTGCCATCATCGTCGTTATTTCGTTCGTCGTTGTCGCGGCCGCTGCCGACGACGTCGCCGCCAGCGCACTCGTCGTTGCCGCAGCTGACGTGCTCGCGACTGTCGTCGCCGTCGCCGTCAGCGATGCGCTGCTGGCCATCGTAGATGAGGCCGCGTCGGTAACGTTGTCCACGTCCGAGTGGCTCTTTTCCATCTCGCTGTCCCTGTCGCTCTAAAATGTCACGAGTATACATGACTCTAGCTGCGAGAACAAGCTGTCCGCCGAAATAAATATTGACAAGTTCTCCTCGGAGGAACGGAGGACTTGATTCTTAACTCGTCATCCTTCCCGGTTTGATTTATTGTTATTCGCCTCATGTTTACCGCCCGACGAAATATTTGCGACAATATCAATTGGCAAACATCTTGCAATTTAAATGTAAATCAAGGACAGAAGCGAGAACGATTCTGCCGAAGATTAATGCATCGCGCGTGCGGCAATTTCTCAATTAAATTTTTATAATTAAACACCCTGCTTTATTTTTCATCTTTTTAAATTTATCAAATTAGATCAAATTAGATTAAATCTTTTTAAACTTTATTAAATTGAATTTTGTGCATATATAATTATCTTTTAAACGAAATCTGATTTTCCAATTTAAATTCTTCCGATTATATGCGAAGCTGATCGCAGACTTGGCTCCGTCAACTCTGAGACGGAGTTGCCATACTTTTGAATAATGGCGAGTGTCATTAGCTTACCAGAACGCTGTGGGTGTCGTCGTGCGTGTCGCCGCTGACTGAGCTCTTGCCGCTGCTGGTGCCGATTCCAAGGTCGCTGAGATCGTTCGCATCCTCGTCGTTATACATGGCTAAACTGATGCTGAGTTTGCGACCTCTGTTGCCGCGCTCCTCCATCATCTCCGAGAAGGTCTTGTTCCGACGACGTTGGCGGTCGTGTTCCTCCAGCTCGAGTTTCTTCACCTCCACCACTCGCTCGATTATGTGCTCCTGCCGCTTCCTCCGGCTGCTCTTCCAGTTGTCTAAATTCTGCGAGTACGGCGACACCGTCAGAGGTCAGAGGTCAAGAGTTGTTTACAAACGGACTGCCCGGACACTCGCGTGCCCGACGAAGCGACAAAGCCTTACCGACTGCCAATCTTCGGGATCATCGCGGACCTCCTGTTTGATTTTCTTCACCTCCTGAACCTTCTGAAGCTGCTCCTGAGCGGTCCGGTACAGCGAACATGGCCCGACTTTGACGAATTGCAAAGGATTGGTCGCTTGCTTAGGGGGTGTTTTCAAGGTGGTTTTCAATTTTGGCGGTTCGTGCGTCAGCTGCTGCAGAATGAAGAAAGGTCACTTCTAACATCTAGGTCGTACAAGTCTCTTTGCAAATGGCCGCGTGCGCGCTGAGAATCCCCCGTGTATGTATTTTCAAAGCTCCTCTCTCTTCCTGACTGATGACGTCAGAAGCGCGGAGAAAACACATGGCCGAAATTCCATTTGCTAATAAAAAGATATCTGCACGAAAGAAGACTTCAGGTCGCTGAAGCGTACCCTCTCTTGCAAAATGCTCCGAACATGCCGTGCTTCTTGAAAGTCAATCAACAAATCACCGTAAAATGACCGTAATTTGTGGTTGGTCATACGGAATGATTGCGCATGCGCCTGGCTAGGCCTCGTATTACAGTCATTTTATGGTTGTCGATTGACTATCAAGGGAGAATAGCGTCCGGGGAACTTTGCAAGTACTCAGGCTCCAGCGACCTGAAGAGCACAGAAATATCCTTTCGCCCGGCAATGGCGCTCCAGAGAGTTTTTCACAGCGTGTCATTTCCCTCGCCTGTGACGTCACTGTCCAATATGGCAGCCAGGAGAGCCTCGACGGAATTTACAAAGTTTTGTCAAACTTTCCAGGTGTCGATTCAGTCTCGTGTGTGCCGGGAATGCCGCAATTCTCGAACTCGTTTCTATGAAATAACAGGTTTGACGCGTTTCCCCGCACGAAAGTCGCGCCGGATATGCGACGACGAATACTAACCATCCTGTCGCTTCGCCGCTCGGTTGCGGCGGCTTGCGAAGCGGGCATCCTTCGCGCTTTCCTGCTTCTCCCGCTGTTTTTCGAGACGCTCCTCCTTTTCAGTGTTGGACGACACCTCCTTGCGCGGCTCGGCCCATCCTATGTCTTGTTCCTGCCAAACGTAAGCGTCGGAGGTTAACAGGGGACGGCGATTAACATAATCAGCAAGCTCGCGCGCGACCGAGGGGACGCGGCCGCGACTCATGAATACCGACCGAGCTGGCCAGGATCCTAATAGAGATGTGCGAACTATTCGAATTCGAATCGAACCTAATGTAATTCGATTCGATTCGAATCCGAATCCTTATGATCCGAATCCGAATAATTCGAAAATTACCAATTGCGAAGATTCGAATACGAATGAAATACATTAGCGTTTGCGCGCATCAGCTACAAAACGGGCCATCTGGTTGCCTGTATGTTTGCCCTTAACCCTTAACTTGCAATTAACCCTTAACTCATAATTAATAACTTCATTATAAATTGCTTTAAATATTTAAATATATATTTTATTCTAAGATGATATTACAATATCAATATTCCCTTTCACATTAAAATCCTCCTTCCATCATTATTTGTATGTTTAATAGTCATGTTAAATTTTTTAAATGGTTCAATTCGATTTCATTCGATTCGAATTCGAGTGAAATGTCATAGATTCGATTCGATTCGAATGAAATGTCATAGATTCGATTCGATTCGAATGAAATGTCATAGATTCGGTTCGATTCGAATTCGAATTTAAAAAATGAGATTTGATTCGACATAAAAATTCTCGATTCGTACATCTCTAGATCCTAATTAGAGCGGCGGAAAGTTGGCGCGCCCGTAACAATCGACCGTCTCGGTCCGCGCTAGCGAGTCGAGATAAGGTCCAAAAATCAGACCGACGTTCGTTGATTCCTCGGACGCATCTCCGCCGCTAAACTTTCACCCAGCAGCGGACGGTTGCCTTGAACGCGTGGCAATGTTTATCAGTTCGCGCGCGGATGTTATCGCATTCGTTGCTCATGGTTGCCCATCCGTCGTGTTATTTGCGAAAGTGTCTCAGTTCCCCCCTCCCCTACCCCCCGTCCGCACGCCCTATTTCCTCTCACGGCGCGTCGCCGGGTTCGCGACAGATCGATTGTCACTCTTCACGTGAGGGGAGAGCAACAAGTCTCTTAAGTAGCAATAACAACAACAACAATAAGAATAATAATAATAATATTAGGTGTACAAATAAATAATCCAAACCTTTTTAAACGGCTGAGAAATTAAGTTTCCAAAAATTTTCCATCAAATTTTCCCGCTCTTTTACTTTATATTTACGTAGTGTTGACGTATAGCTATTAAACATTACATTTCGTATGGCGGAAGACTTAACCTTGAATTTAGCTGAAAATTTTGGATTATTCATTCGTACACCTAATAATAATAATAATAATAATACAGGGCTACTTGAAGACTACTCGAGTCGTACACTTCCCCGGGATCGAAAACCCGCGGAAAGAACGCGCGTGTCTCCGATTTTTCGCCGACTTCCCGACCGGTCTCCGAGGCAGTCGTTTTCGCAATATTTTCAAGCGACTCGCGAATCGCATTCTTCTCGACGACCTTGTCGATATCTCGACAAGGTACAGCGTCGAGATGCATCTCGCCGATAATGGCCGTCCGTTCGCTCGAGTCGCGTTCACGGGGTCGTAGACTCCTCCGGCGCACGTCCGATCGCATCGCACCGGCTGATAGAATCCCCTGTGACACCTATGGACGCGCGTGGCATCGCGCGGTCGTCTCTCGCGACGCGCATGCATGCGTGCGTAGAAAACGCGCGCGTCGCGCGGCGGAGCGACGCGACGCGACGCGGTTTGGTCGCGCGGCGCGCCGACAGCAGCACCAGGCCTCTCGAAGGCGATTCTGGAGCGAACGGCGCGGAATGTAGTCCTCGAGGAGGAAATCGACGCGGGAAGATCGCGAGAAGTCAAGGCTGGATATTTCTGTCGTTGCCGCGCACGCGCGCAACAGTCTGTTTTCCAGCGGTTTTATTCCGCTTATTTCGCGAGAATGCCCGGCCCGATTATTTCCGCTCGTTGGACTTTGGATGCCTTTCTTATTGACAGATCCTCCCCCCCCCGTTCTCCCCCGCCGCCTGCAATGAGCGCGACCGCACTCCAGTTGTCACAAAAGGCTCATGAGATCGTGTCGTTATGTAATTCCGCGGAGCGAACGAACACGAAGGGGAGCAGCGTGCGGACATTTCTTCGAGTCCTTCGAGTCCTTCAAGTTCTTTCCTGACGAATTCGAACATTACGGCGGATAATTCTCAAATTATCGCAGCGAGATGAGAAAGCGCTCGAACAGGACGATTCGGTGGATCCCGCAGGATGCGGAGAAGACATAATGTGATTCCCCCTCCCCTCCCCTACTCTTGAGGACACATCGCATCCGGAGCACAATGTGGGACGGGTGTCTGCGGAATCTCAGCGGCGGTCGCGTTCACGTTCTGAAAATACCGCGGGGGTAAATTCGCCGGTTCGCCAGAATAATCTCGTATTTTTCGAATGTTACGAGCAGCCGCGCCTTTCTTCCTTCCTTCTTTCTCGGCGGCTCCTCCTCTCCCCTTTGTCCGTTTTGTTCCAGCCGCTTCCTGCCGTTTTCGAGTCTGCATCGTCCATGTTGTGATCGGGCACCCGCAGCGAATCGTTGCGCCTGTCACAAGACTGCTTTTATTCTCTTCGAGCAGGCTTTTTAATTCGCAGGTCAAAACCTCTGGACGTTCGATTTCTATTCGCCAGCGCCGACAACGCGAGTCGCACCGCGTAGATTTTCGCCAAGTTTTTCTGCATCGACATTGTTGCGAACAGCCGCTCATTGTTGCGTAATCGCACGATACACAGCTGTCGATTGCCTACACCGGGTGTGTACATTACACCTCAGAGGACGCATTGATACGGCGGCCAGCTTGAAGCGACACGTGAGTAAATATTTCCATATTAAGATCGAGAGTAACATCGTTCGCATCGTCGCCGGATGGCTCTTCCTCCCCTCGTCCTCTCTTTTCCTGCGTCGACGAGAGGAAGCAGACGGGTGGCTCGAAGATCCCGAGAAAAGCGTCGCAACGACGGCGACAGCGATGTCCTCTTTCTCCGTCTGCGCGAACGAGCGCTTGACCTTTTCTCTTCTCGGACGCAGGACGCGCTAACACTTTATGGTGGTATAAAACGATTGCTTTACGCCACCGATGGGGTCCGTTCCCTAGTAGCACACTTCATTGGAGTTACATTGGTGTTACATTGGCCCAATATGTAGCCAATATTGATTAGACATTAAATTACAAGATATCGCCAATATTGCACAGCATAGTAAAAAAAAAAAAAAAAAAAAAAAAAAAAAAAAAAAAAAAAAAAAAAAAAAAAAAAAAAAAAAAAGATATCGCCAATATTGCACAGCATAGTTATACCAATATTGACTTACATTGGGGTTACATTGGCCAATATTGGGGGCCGAATTTGCAGCCAATATCGACCCAACAATATGTGCTACTAGGATTGCTCGGCTTCGCTCTTTTATTAAACTATGTCAGGGTGTTTCACGATCATCGAGCGCCCCGCTCGTTGTAAAGCATTAACGCCAACGAGAGCGGTCGCTCTCGTAGAGCATCCGAATCGTCATCGTCGTCCACGCTCGGTCAACTCGTCGCACTCGCGTATCGCGGCAGAGCCGCTCTCTACGTTGTTTTTAATTTCGCCTCGCCCCTCTCCCGCCGCCCTCGCACACGTCATGGCGGCGTGGAAAAAAGCCGCGTCCGACGGAACCAGGACACGCGCGCGAACGCATTGTTATCAGCTGTTATCCGCGTCACATCACGAGTCGTAACGAGATCCGATCACCGAAGCGTAACAGCGAAACATCCTCGTTTCGTCGTCGTCGTCGTCGTCGTCGTCGTCGTCGTCGGAGAGTCACACGCGCCGCGAGAGAATTATTCACGCGCGCGCGCTCGGATACTCTTAATGCACCATTACGCCGAGAGACAACGAGAGAGTGAGGGAGACAGAGGGGAGAGGGCAGGGACGAGAGAGAAGAGGAAGGCCGGTGGGATTTACAAGGCGCTTATGTAAGCGCGATGCTGCGAGGAGATGCCTCGCGGCAAATCGACGACGAAATATCGCGCGACGGAGGAAGGCAGCTGCGGCGCTCTCGCGAGGCGAGGGCGAGCTCGTGGCTCACAGACGAGGCCGGTTTCGCTGTCGCTCCGAAGACGCGCATGCGGGTCGTACATACGATCGGTACGCACGCATAGACACGTTTTCTTCGCGGCCCGATCTCGCGTGATCACATGTGAGTAAGTGAGTGAGTGAGTGAGTGAGTGTGTGTGTGTCTGTGCGGAGGAGATACGACGTACCTACGCGCTCGCACCGGGTATTCAGCGTCTTGGAAACGTCTTGGCGACGGAGGCCTCTCGATTAGCGCGAGCTCGTCCTCGCGAATATTAGGTAAATCGGAAAAGTTCCGTCCATCTAGCGGCAAGTAGCTATAGCTAGAACTGTCGTTAATCTCTAATGTCTAAACGAAGCTGAATGGTTTGTTTTGACATCTGTCAATAACATTCAGTACATAAAGTTATACGTTCGCATCAATAACATTGTTTTTTACAGCGTCAAAAATGTCGCATCGAAATGTTTGAGCCAAATAAGCGTCATTTGCGCGAAGTGTTAATCTTTTGCTTCAATTGGAAGTAAACTGCAGCTGAAGCTCATCGAATGCTTGTTAGAAGTTTATGATAATAATGCTCCTTCCGATAAAACATGCAGAGAATGGTTTCGACGCTTTTAAAGCGGTGATTTTGATGTGGAGGGCAAAGAGCGTTCTGGCGGCGGCCAAGAGTATTCGAAGACAAAGAATTGCAGGCATTGGTGGACGAAGACCCAAACGCAACAGCAACTTGCAGAAGCATTAAATTGTCAGCTCAATCTGTCATTTCCGATCGTTTGAAAGCCTTAGGAAAGGTTTACAAGGAAGGAAAATGGGTCCCATATAAACCGAAGCCAAGAGACAAAAATCATGGGTTGATCCAGGCTAACCAGCAACATCCACTTCAAAGCGCAATATTCAGGGTTCAAAGGTATCGCTGTG